CGCCGGCACGTCGCTCGTCAACTTGCCCGTGGACTTTCGTCAGCTGCTGCAGGACATTCCGTTCACCAACTGCGTCCAGAAGCAGTCGGGGCGCTGTACGTGCTACCTCGAGCTCATCGAGACGTGCTGGGCGCAGAAGGGCACGGTCAACTACATCCCCGAGCCGGAAAGCGCTCCCAACAAGCTCAAGGCGATCGAATTCGACCAGACAAAGTGCATCCCCAAGTACAAGGCCGCGGCTCTCAAGATCATCAACGAGAACAAGCTGCCCGGGCAGCTCAACTGCGCCATGTGCCGGCTCGAGATCAAGCAGTTACCGACGACGCTGCCCAAACTGTTTGTTGAACTCATCAACTTCAATCGCCCCGACAAGGGCGCTCTCATCTTCTTGGGCGGCGCGGGTTGCGTCGCGCTCGTCTTTGCGTGCGAGATCCTCGGGCGACTCTTCTCGGGCGTCGGCGTTGGCTTTGTCGGTCGGTCGCTGCCCGTTCCGTTTGGCGCGTACTGCCGCTACACGTGCTTTTGGATCTTCCTCTTCTTCATCAAGCTGCTCTTCGACTACAACTACATGGTCAAGAACCTTGTCGAGACGACGCTCTTCATTTGGCTCAGTAACTCGGCCGACTACCTCCAAGTGTCGCAGTTTATGGTGCAGCAGAGCTACCACAACATCCTGTACATCTTCTTCCTCTGGGTGCCGGCCATCATGGTGTTCCTCTACGACGCGCAGATCTTCTACGCGATTCTCTCGGTCATCTTTGGCTCGATCCGCGGCTTCAACCTCCGCATCGGCGAGCTCCGGTCCTTCCGCATCCTCCGGCTCTCGTTCAAGTCGATCCCGAAAGTGTTCAACAAGAAGATCGTCTCGAACTTGATTGAGGCCGCGGCCAAGAAGAAGAAGGCCAAGAAGCCGAAGAAGGGCGCTAAGAACGACGAGCCTGCGCCCGAGCGCCGCTTTGAGCGCGTCTCGTACTCGGAAGGCTCCAAGCCGCTCACTGTCACGGCCAAGGGGTTCTCGTCGCTGCTTGAGAACGACGGCTACAACGAGGTCAAGACGCCGGGCGCGTCGCCGGTAGACTCTGCGCGCAGCTCCAACATTGGCTCGATCACGGGCGTGTCCGGGCCCGAGTTTGAGCGCACGATTCCGTTTGCGATGGCGTGGAACCGGTGCCTGACCTCGATGCGCGAGGCCGACGTGCTCAGCGACCGCGAGCTCAACGTGCTCAGCTACCTCATCGACACCAAGGACGTGGCCGAGCGCCGTCTGTACCCGCCGGCCTTCCTCACGGCCGGCAAGCTCGACGAGTCGCTGGACATTATCACCGAGTGCTACGCTGTGTACGAGAAGCTCAAGGCGGACAAGAAGAAGGGTAAGGCGCTGCAGAAGGTCGAGACGTCGATGACAGAGCGCCTCGTCAAGGACGATTTGCGTATCGAAGCGATCCTGGGCTCGTACAAGTTTTCGTCGCAGGTCGTGCGCCTCCTCCTCGGCGACGAGCACAAGGAGCTCGACGACTGCTTTGCGTTCATTGAAGAGTCGGTGCAGACGAAGAAGGCGATGACGGGGCTCAACTTTTCCAACTTGTACCAGTGCCGGTCGGCGTGCGCGGACCTGATGAAGTCGATCCTTGAGGTGCCCAAGTCGACGAACGAGGCGAGCATCAAGTTTCAGCGGTCGCTCTACCACGTCATCGACAACGTCGAGGCCGTCATCAACTGCCTCAAGAAGGTGCTCTCCAAGCAAGAGAATCTCGTCAAGATCCTCAACGACACGCCGCTCAAGCCCAACTCGTTCTTCTTCCCTGGCGACGCGCAGCACTATGCGAGCGTCCAGCTGCAGAAGATCGTGAACGACCAGACGGCCATGGACATCATCTCGCGCGCCTATCAGCTGCTGACGGTTGACAACTTTGACGCGGAGCCGCGGTCGGAGGAAGGCCAGCGCCGCCTCCGCTTCTTCGCCAACTCGCTCTTCATGGAGATGCCCGAGGCCAAGCCGCTGCGTCAGATGCACTCGCTCACGATCTCGACGCCGTACTTTAACGAAATCGTGCTCTACTCGATCAAGGACCTCACGACGCAGAACGACGACTGCATCAAGCTGCTCTACTACCTGCAGACGATCAACCCGTTCGAGTGGGAGAACTTCCTCGAGCGCATCAACTGCAAGGACATGCACGAAGCGCTCAAGAAGTTTCCGGAGGAAGTCCAGCTCTGGGCCTCGTACCGCGGTCAGACGCTCGCCCGCACCGTGCGCGGTATGATGTACAACGAAGAGGCGATCCGGTTCCTCCACTGGCTCGAGATCGGCGAGAACGAGCCGATGCACTTGGCCGGCTGCGAGTGCAACCGCTGCATCCGCCTCGAGCACATGGTCGCGCTCAAGTTCAACTACCTCTGCGCGTGCCAGATTTACGGTCGGCAGAAGGACGAGCAGCGCCAGCAGGCCACCGACATTGATTTTCTCATGATGAAGCACCCGGGGCTCCGCGTCGCGTACGTCGACGGGCCTAAGAAGGTCAAGGACGGCCCGCCTAAGTACTTTTCCGTGCTGATCCGCGCGCAAGGCGACAAGATCACGGAAGTGTACCGCATCGAGCTCCCTGGCGACCCGATCATTGGCGAAGGCAAGCCCGAGAACCAGAACCAGGCTGTTGTTTTCACGCGGGGCGAGATGCTCCAGTGTATCGATATGAACCAAGACGGGTACCTCGAAGAGTGCCTCAAGATGCCCAACCTCCTCGCGACCGTCGATCGCAAGGAGCACGCCAAGACGCCGCTCACGATCATTGGCTTCCGCGAGTACGTCTTTACGGGTGGCGTCTCGAACCTCGCGTCGTTCATGCAGATCCAGGAGCTTTCGTTCGTCTCGCTCGGTCAGCGCATGCTTGCTCTCTTCCACGTCCGCCAGCATTACGGTCACCCGGATATTTTCGACAAGATGTTTGCGATGACGACGGGCGGCACGGCCAAGGCCTCCAAGGGTGTCAACCTCTCGGAAGATATTTTCGCCGGCTTCAACACGACGCTCCGCGGCGGCCGCGTCTCGCACGAGGAGTTTATCCAAGTGGGCAAGGGTCGTGATGTCGGCATGCAGCAGCTCGCGCTCTTTGAGGCCAAGCTCTCGTCCGGTGCCGGTGAGTGCGTCATCTCGCGTGACGCGATGCGCATGGGCTCCCGCCTTGACTTTTGGCGCCTGCAGTCGTGGTTCTACGGTAACCTCGGGTGGTACTTTACGCAGACGATGACGGTCTTTGGCGTCTACTTCTTCATCTACGGCAAGATCTACTTTGCGTTCTCGGGCCTCGACGCGTTCTACCTCCGCACCGGTGGTCTCGGTATCTCGGGGGCGCTCAACACTTCGTGGGCGCTGCAGTTTGGCTTCCTCCTCGTCGTGCCCGTCATTGCGGTCGTCGGTGTCGAGCGCGGTTTCCGTCACGGCTTCAGCTACCTCCTCTGGAACGTGCTCACGCTCGGTCCGCTCTTCTTCACGTTCCAAATGGGCAACCGTATGCACTACTTTGACCGGACGCTCATCCACGGCGGCGCCAAGTACCGCGCCACGGGTCGTGGCTTTACGATCAAGCACGAGAAGTTTGCCGAGCTCTTCCGCTTCTACGCGTTCAGCCACTTTTACCGCGGCGTCGAGCTCATGTTCCTCCTCATCTTGTTCTACGCGTACGGGACGTTCTCGTGGTGCAACTGCTCGTGGCGCACGGACCAGCTCTTCTACAACAACATTGAGCCGCTGCCGTACGAGTGGAACACGCGCTGCTATGCCAACTTTTACCAGAGCTGCGTGCTGCCGACCAACCAGAACTACGGCATCATGAGTTACTCGCTCTGGCTCATTGCGGCGACGTGGATGTGGGCGCCGTTCTTCTTCAACCCGAGCGGCCTCGACTGGGACAAGGTGATTGAGGACTACAACGACTGGCAAAACTGGCTCCAGACCAAGAACGACTCGAGCGAGTCGTGGTTTGGCTGGTGGACGACCGAGCTCGAGTACCTCGAGCACTCGACCGCGAGCGCGCGCTTTGTGCAGATGATCCGCAAGACGCGCTTCCTCCTCATCGCGATCGGTCTCTACCTCCAGATGATGTACCGCATCTTCTACAAGAGCCAGAACAAGGTCGTGTCGACCAACAAGAACGACGGCGTCCTCGAGTATTACAAGCCGTACATAATCGTCGGTGCGCTCTTTGTGCTCATGATCCTCCTCGTGTGCTGCGGCTACTGCGCGTCGCGCTTCACGAAGAAGAGCCAGATGAAGCAGAAGAAGCTGCGCAAGATCAAGTTCAACATTTCGTTCACGGTGCTGGTCCTCGTCCTCTTCTCGTTCCTGTACCTCTCGGTCACGGAGGTTGTCGAGATCTGCCTCATCGTCGTCGTCGCGACCTACTGGTTTGTGCAAGTGATGATCGTGCGCCTCAAGAGCGGCCACATCGTCGTCCACGCGCTCGGCAAGTTCTACGACCGCGCGGTCGGCTGGATCGTGTTTGGCCCGATTCTGTTTGTCGCTATGTTCATGCCCTTCATCTCTTCCTTCCAGCAGCGCGTCATGTTCAACTCTGCGTTCACGTCGGGCCTCGAAGTCTCCAAGCTCTTTGCCAACGAAGCGGTCCCGACCCAGACGCTCAAGGCCAAGCGCACCAAGAAGAAGAAGCGCGACGACTAGCGTTCTTGCGCCTTATACACTACTACATACACGAGATTTTGATTTCAAGTTACGCGACGAAGCGCATGGGTAAGGGCGCGTGTCCTTGACACGTTGCTGCGCTGGGGATGCCTGCGACAGCAGCCAGCGACGACGTCATCAACGAGCAGAGGCTCGTGGGAGGCAGGGTGGATGCTGTGGCGATTTGGGTTTGGCCGTTCAGCGTGCCACGCGTGTACTTGCTTAGGGGAATTTCAGTAGCCAGACCTTGCCAAAGTTGGTACCACGTATGGCGGGTCAGTCGGAAAGATAGCAGCAGTCGGAGCAAGCCGCCTCGAGACGCATGACGGTGGCCGACCACACGGTCGTCGTCTTTGACTGGGACGACACGCTCTGCCCGAGCTCGTGGCTCCATGCGCATGAGCTCCTGCCTACGTACCAAGGCCACGCCGTCGAGCTGCCGCCGTTCGTGCGCGACGTCCTCGCGATGCTCGCCGAGAAGGTCTGCGACCTGCTCGTCGCGGCCAATGCGCTTGGGCCCGTCTTCGTCGTGACCGCGGCCGAGGGCGGCTGGGTCGAGACGGCGTGCGCGCTCTACATGCCGTCGGTCGGGTCGCTGCTCCAGCGGTCGCCCGACATCCACATCGTCTCGGCGCGCGCGTGGTTTGAAGGTACGTACGGCTCGGGCGGCGACGCGCGCCATTGGAAGCTGGAGGTGCTCGGCGTCATCGCGAGCAAGTGCTTCGTCTCGGGCGGCGGCAACCTCGTGTCGGTCGGCGACTCGCTCGCGGAGCGCGACGCTTGCCACGCCGTCGTGACCCACTGCCCAAACATCCTCGCCAAGACGCTCAAGTTCATCGACGTTCCGGACGTCCTCGAGATCGCGTCGCAGGTCGAGCTGGCCTTTGGGTCGCTCCACCACATGTGCGTGCACGACGACCACCTCGATCTGCACATCACGCGGGACCAGCTCCTCCGGCCCTAAGACGCAATTTCTTATATATATAAAGTACTATACTGCCTTTACGCGTCTTCGGACTTGTGGTTCTTGGGCTTCTTGGGCTTCTTGGCGTCGGCCTTTTGCTTCTTGCTCTTCTCGCTCGGCTTGGGCTTGAGGATCATAAAGCGCAGCTCGGCCTCGACCGTCGGGCTGTGGTTGCGCAGAAAGTACGCATTGTTCGCGGGCACGTAAAACTCGTCGCCGGGCCCGAGCGTGAAGCGTGACGCGGTCGCGTCATCAAACGTAGGGTTCGACGGATGGCCAAAAGCCACCTCGAGCGCCATGGGCTGGCAGCCAATGACGATGAAGACCTGCGCGCAGCTGCCGACGCTCTCGCTGGCCTTGACGGCGCCGGGCGGCAAAAGCACGCGCCCAGAAATCCACGTCGGCACGGACGTCGAGCCCACAACGTTGAACGTCTGGCACGCAAAGCCCGACGGAACGCCATCCTCGGCCGGCAGCGGAAAGAGGTCGGCGGTGCCGTACCGGCCGATCATCTTGACGTTCTTGCTCGTGGCCGACGCCTCGTCCCAGAGCTCGCCCGAATCGGCCGTCGAGTACTTGAACTCGGACGGCAGCTGCGACGCTGGGAAGGTCGCATGCTTAGACTTTTTCTTGCGGTTGCCGGCCGCGTTCTTGATCGGCGAGTTGGTGCCTGCGCGCTCAATGTGCGAAATCGTGGGCAAAATGAGCCCGAGCCCATTGTCGCGGCGCTCGTACACCGGTCGCTCGCACTTGTACCACGCGAGCGGCTGGATGCGTCGCCGCTTCGAGCGTCGCGGACCATGCGGGTCGCTCTCGCCGCCGTCGTCATTGTCGGTAAAGTCCTGTCGGCGCGGTGGCGCGTCCGTGTCCGAGTGATCGGTCGCATCGTTGAACGACGTCTCGGCCAGCTTCTTCTTCTTCGGTCGGCCCCGGGCCTTGGGCTCCTTCGGTTCGCTGGTTTCCTCGAGTTCCTTGGGTCCTTTGGCCGTCCGCTTGGGCGCCTTGGCCTTGGTCACCAGCTTCTTCGTTTTGGGCACAGCGATGACGAGCGACGCGTCTTCAAACATGTCATTTTCGTTGTCGCTCGTGCTTGCGACTGGCGTGCGCGACTTCTTCGATGCCTTCTTCGTCGGCGGCGTCGTCGGGCGGTGCGCCATCGGACTCACGGGCGGACTCGAAAACTGCGGGCGGACTTCGGGAGGTGAAAAGAGGTCGTGATCTACGCGTCATCAATCTCCATCATATGCGAGGACGCGCTAGATGACCTTCCGTCTGTGCGATGGGCGTCATGTTGCCGCCGAACGAGCCGCGGTTGGCCTCCAGAGGGTCAGTGTTCTTTGCACCAAACGTATTGTCGTCGTCGTCATCGCGCGACGGCGCGTCAAAGTCGAAGTCGTCCTCCAGCTCAAACGAGCGGTGGCCCGTCGCATTCTCTTGCTCGTCGTCAGCAGCCTTCGACTCTTCCTCGTCTACTTGTGCCAGTACCAGTGAGACGACTCATCGGCAGCGCTTTGATGGACGACCTTGGGAGCGGACAAGAGGCAACGGCGCAGCCTTGGGCACTGGCGCGCGACGCGCACTCGCGACCCGCAGTGAAAAGATGCTCGCGTCCGATACGCTCTCGTCGTTCATTGGCGGGTTGGTCTTGGGCGCTGCTGCTTTGGCTAGACACTCGAGTGAGATTCAGAAGGAGGGGGTGGGGGTACCTGGCGAAGGACGCCGTGGCGACTGCACGGGCGTGGTCATGTTCACGTCCGAGAGGTCCATGCTAGACGAATCTACGCGGGCTGTGTCAAGCAAGAACCCATGCATGCAACACTAGCTACCGCGTCGGTTCTTGATCGTACTGGCCGGCGACGACATGTTGCCAAACGAAATGTCGACCTCGGACGGCGGATCGTCGTTGCGAAAGTCGGGAGCAAATGCAGCAGCCGGAGCAGATTCTTTGGTCGGCGTCGTTTCGACCACCGGGGCCGCCACGGGACTGGGCTTTGTCTTCTTGAGAGTCGCAGGCGGCGTTGTCGGAATGGCGCGCACTGGTTCTGGCAAACATCGTGCGTGAGACGCAAGCAAGTCATTAATTGACGTACGGGGCGGGCGTGGAGGCGGCGGGCGGGCAAATGGCGGTGTGCGCGCCGTCGGCATGGGCGCGGCCGGTGCAGCAACCTCTGTTGCATAGAAGCATGAGATGATGGCGCTTCTCTGACGAAGGCGCACCGGTCGTTTTGACGGGCGTAGGCTGGCTGCTTGACGCGCGGCGACGAAGGTGCGTATGGGCCTTGACAGGCGTCGGCGTCGTCGGTGCGCGGCGGAGCCGGATCACGTCAGGCTCCTCCTCCTCCTCCTCGTCGCGCGAGTCGTTGAACTCGAAGTTGTCTTGGCCGACGTCGTTCGTGGACTCTAAGAAAGCGCACAGCGATGGTCAGAATGCGACGGCGCGGTAAAGCGTGCTGTCGTACCGTTGGTGTCCGAGTCTTCGGCCCAAAAGTCGTCAATGTCTTCAAAGCCATGCGAGTCTCGGCGCACGTCGGCGCGGACTACGACGCCCGAGCGTCTAGACACCCTCGCATGAGCTACCATGCCATCGCTCCGCGTCGTCGTCGCACCTGCCGATGGCCTGGGCCTGGAGGGCGCGGGCCGGCAAGGACATCACGTCGCCTTGCGCTGGGAGCGTTGGGATTTGAACGCGTCCGCCGATTTTATCCGGATTCGCAGTCGCCCAACTGTTTTTTGCATTCGATTTATACTTGATTTTTGTATTAAATTTTAAAAGCCACACCCCTTCCCGCCACCTTGCACTGCGCTCTGTCATTGGCTAAAAAGCATTCGTCAGTCGATCCTGATTGGCTCAGGCATTAACGGTTAGTCGCTGGTTCCTGGCGGTTGACACCATCCGTTGCAGGCATATCTGAAGCGCCACGTTGCCGGTCAGACTGCCGCCGCAACTAGTACGTCACCACGGCGCCCACAGCACTGCATGCAGCAACATGGTCACAACCATTATAGAAACTACACTATAAAAATTTCAATAATCGGTTGCCATCACCATCGACTTCCCGCCTTTCTTCAGCTGGCGATCTGGTCGGTCATTTCGCCGCCATCGATCGCGTCCTGCCAGATAACGTGCCACTTGACAGACAGAGCTATGCAGTTCCAGCGCTAGAGCTCGAGCAGAGACCCAGGTCGATGGCTGTTGTAGCTCCATCTTGCGAAGCTTGTGGCCGCTGGTTTCCAGGCTGTTGCCTTTTTCAATCTAAATTTAGCTGCCACTGCACATTATTTAGTGTATGTGGGCTGGCTACTCCGTTGCTGCGGCCGCCACCTCGGGCCGTAGTATCGCGGTCGCTGCCTCATACAGCCCTCTTGGAGCGTCCACCGCCCCGACGTCGTCGGTGGCGACCGCGCTGCGCGTTCGATCGCGGCGCCCCTTCCACACAAATAGTGTACATATCGATTGCCAGAGGTTTGTATGCAGTGTGAGAGGGATTGACGTGTGGGTCAACCAAATTTGTTGGCTGGTGACAGAGGTGATTTTTTGGCCAAGCCACCAGGAGGAAGCAGCATGTCGGACAAGCTGACGCGTATCGCCATCGTGAGCGCAGACAAGTGCAAGCCCAAGAAGTGTCGCCAGGAATGCAAGAAGTCCTGCCCCGTCGTGCGCATGGGCAAGGTCTGCATTGAAGCCACGGGCAAGTCCAAGATCGCCTACATCTCCGAGTCGGTACGTCCTGCGCATCTTGGCTGACGTAGCCGCTCATGGCCGCCGTAGCTCTGCATCGGCTGCGGTATCTGCGTCAAGAAGTGCCCGTTCGAGGCCATCAACATTATCAACTTGCCCAAGGACCTCGAAAACAACACGACGCACCGGTACGGCGCCAACACGTTCAAGCTCCACCGCCTGCCCATGCCCCGCCCGGGCCAGGTCCTCGGTCTCGTCGGTACCAACGGTATCGGCAAGTCGACGGCGCTTAAGGTGCTTGCCGGCAAGCTCAAGCCCAACCTTGGCCGCTACGACTCGCCGCCCGAGTGGCAGGAGATCCTCACGTACTTTCGTGGCTCGGAGCTCCAAAACTACTTTACGAAGATCCTGGAAGACAACTTGAAGGCGATCATCAAGCCGCAGTTCGTCGATCGCATCCCCAAGGCTGTCCAGGGCCAGGTCCGTCAGATCATCAGCGACCGCTGCCAGAAGGAAGGCAAGCTCGACTACTACATGAAGGAACTCGACCTCACGCACATCAAAGACCGCGACGTACGCCATATTCGTGCACGTTGTCTCTGCAGCTCATATCTCTGCTACTGTAGCTCGCGGTGCTCTCGGGTGGTGAGCTCCAGCGTTTTGCCATTTGCTCGATCGCGGTCCAGCAGGCCGACATTTACATGTTTGACGAGCCGTCGTCGTACCTCGATGTGCGCCAGCGTCTCAAGGCCGCGCTCGTGATCCGCTCGATGGTCGAGGGCAGCCACCTCTCGTACTGCATCTGCGTCGAGCACGATCTCTGCGTCCTCGACTACCTCTCCGACTACATCTGCGTGCTCTACGGCTCGCCGTCGGCGTACGGCGTCGTGACGATGCCCTTCTCGGTGCGCGAAGGCATCAACATCTTCCTCGCGGGCTTCGTCCCGACCGAGAACCTCCGTTTCCGCCAAGAAGAACTCACGTTCAAGCTTGCGCAGACGGCGGACGAGCTCCAGGGCAACGACAACTCGAGCGCCAACACGTACACGTACCCCAACATGACCAAGTCCATGTCGTCGGGCAAGCCGGGCGCGCCGACGTTCAAGCTCCACGTCGAGACGGGCTGCTTCACCAACTCGGAGATCATCTGTATGCTCGGTGAGAACGGTACGGGCAAGACGACCTTTATCAAGATGCTGGCGGGCGGCCTCAAGTCGGACGAGATGATCGCGGCCGAGACGTCGGAAGACTACGCCGCCCAGTTCGAGGCGTCGCTGCAGTACGACGCCAACGTGGTGAGCTACAAGCCGCAGACGATCGCGCCCAAGTTCCAGGGCTCGGTCCGCGCGCTCTTGCACAAGCGCATTCGCGACTCGTACACGCACCCGCAGTTCCTCACGGACGTCATGCGCCCGCTCAACATTGACAACATCATTGACCAGGCGGTGCCCAACCTCTCGGGCGGTGAACTGCAGCGCGTCGCGATCGTGCTCTGCCTCGGCAAGCCCGCCGACATTTACCTCATTGATGAGCCCTCGGCCTACCTCGACTCGGAGCAGCGCATCATTGCGTCCAAGGTCATCAAGCGCTTCATCCTGCACGCCAAGAAGACGGCGTTCGTCGTCGAGCACGATTTCATCATGGCCACGTACCTCGCGGACCGCGTGATCGTCTACAAGGGCCGGCCCGGTGTCGAGTGTACGGCGCGCACGCCGCAGAGCCTCCTCTCGGGCATGAACATGTTCTTGAAGCAGCTCGAAATCACGTTCCGTCGCGACCCGACCAACTTCCGCCCGCGTATCAACAAGCTCAACTCGGTCAAGGACACGGAGCAGAAGAGCACGGGCAACTACTTCTTCATGGACGACTAAGTTTAGAGTCGAGACGACGATGTATCCCTGCACATTTAACAGAAACAAGCGTTTACAATCGAGGTTAGTGGCGAAGCATGGCGGTTGTCGGCCGCTGCAAGAGGTCGACGACCACCCCTTCGGCGCCGGGATCCGGTGCGCGGTACATGGCTTTGGACTCGACGATGACTTGGCCTTCGTTGATGCAGAGCACGTCTTGCTCCTCCGCGCCGCAGTAGAGCAACTTGCGCTTCTCCGCCTACGCGCCCCAATGAGATCCTCCACTGCCACATGTCAAGTACCTCGACGAGGCCTGGGTGGAGCGTAAACAGAATCGGCTGCCCAAATTCGATGGCTTGCTGGAGCTTGCCCGTGCGCGCGAGGCTGGGGGCCGGCGGGGCTTGGCGCAGCGACCCCATGTACAGCTACACACAAGGTCCGGGACGACCTCGGTCGCAGAGAGGTACCTTAAGATCGTCCAAGTAGATTTCAATCTCGCGCGCCCCCCGCTCGGGTGTCTTGGCGTAGTTGAACACTTTGATCATACCGAGACAGATGGGCGTCTCGTACACAGCGTAAATGATGTTGCCTGGTCATAGTTGAGTCAACCCTAGCCCTACATAGGGCGCCTACCCGCAAACTGCCCGAGTGACGACGCGAGTGGGGCGAGCCACGCGTGGGTCGCGTCCCACGTATTGTTGTCGTCGTCGCAAAAGAGATTCTCGATGACGCGCGCGTCCTGGGGGCTGTCGGCGAGACCGTTGGGATCCGCGAGAAGCTACACGCGATTCAACAGAGCTCGTGGGTTTTGTTGCTCCTACCACAGTAGGCGGCGATAGTAGCTGGCCGCGGTCGTTGTAAATCTCGAGGCCGTTGAGACCGACGTAGTACGGGTCGCCCCACGTGCTCCACAACACAAACTAGACGTGCGCTTGAGAAAACGCGCGGGAATCGGAACTACCTTGAGCACAAACCCCGACGGGTGCAGCGGCGGTTCGTAGTCTTGCCGCACGAGGTGCGTCTTGTAGCCGCCGATGGGCGCGCTGATGGCGACGATATTTGGCTCGGCCAGATGCACAAACTGGCGAAAGTCAAAGAGCGCGTGGCCCGGTGCCTTGCGCAGCACCGTGGTGGTGACGAGCGTACCGTCGACAAAGATGTGAACGGCTTTGGCACCGCGACTCGTGTCTTCTTCGGACTTGTTGTAGTTCCACACGGCGAGGCCGACGCACAAGACGTCTCTTCCTAACGTAATCGTCACCTCGGGGGCCACCGCGCCGCCTACAACACCGTTCTAAAGTCACTTGAATGCATTCCGGACGCACCAAAAGGCACGAGCCACATGTGGCAGTCGTCGCACGTGACATGCGTCGTGTCAATCAACTAGCACGCTCCGTCGAGTCCATGTTTCAAACTGGACGTACTTTGTCCAGTGTGCGGGGATCGCCGTCGTACCCAAGCTACTCGCTGTAAGCTTCCGACACGAGGCATCCACGCACCGTGTGCAAATCGCGGGGTGTCGCGCTAATTTCCGACAGCGCCAGCGGAAGCGATGTCACGGCGCCCTCTCTCGAAACGTAGAGCTCGAGGCCCGTGAGGCCGACGTAGTTGCGGTCCCCCCACGTGGTCTGCAGCACGAGTTTGATTGTCCGGCCTTTTCGACCCCCGGCGCTCGCCACCGGGAGGGGACACGTCGCCCCGACCACGGCGGTCTTGGGTCGCACGTCCGCATCGGCCTCCGCGGTCGACGGTCGAGGAATCACCGGCTGCGGCTCCAACGCTGCCGGCGTCGCGTCGACGGTGGGGTCGGGGTCGCTCTGCTCAATCGCGCGCAGTACCGCCTACGAAGCGAGCTCGGGACGCCGTTGACGGAATCGGTCGTCGCCACCTCGTCGGTTGTAAAGAGGACGACTTCGGCGCACTGGTCGATGGCGCCGAGGATGCCGGGGGCCTTGCGCACTTCGCCGACAAAAATCTCGCGGCCGTCGAGCAGAATACGCGTGTCCCGGACGCCGCGAAAGCTAAAAATGCGGTGAATTGCTGCCGGAGGTCATGGGTTCGAACCTGTGCGCGCGCGACTTGTTGTAGTTCCAGATACGAAGCATCGAGAGCGTGGTTGGTGCCTCGAGCTGCAGCGTGACCGAGTGCAGTTGGCGCGGCGTGAACGGCGCCAGCCACATGTGCAGGTCGTCGCACGTGTAATTGACGCCGTCGACCTAGGATGATGCGTCTCGTAGCTCACTCCAAAGTCATCTACCAAATTGGCGGCGACCCGCGGGTCCTGCTCATTGGCATACTCGGGCAGCACATTGATGCTCGAGGGCACCGCCGTCACTTGACTCTATATCGCAATTTGAGCACTCGTGTTGGCAACGACCCGCGGACCTTGGCGAGGCGCAGGAGTGCGCCAGTGTCGGTGAAGACGTCAATGCCGTTGAGACCGACATAGTACGGGTCGCCCCACGTCGAGAGCCACTCAAACACGAGTGTGCGACCGCGCGGTAGCGTCGGGATCGCACTCACTGGGCGTTCTTGGTGCACTGCGCCGTCGGTAAAAGGCATTCGCGGAGTCTCGCCGACGAACGACCGCGGTAGCTCGGTGGAGCTGAGGAGCGGCACGATGGCGGAGGTGTGTCTCGGTGTTGTGTCGCCAACCTCGAGGGGCAAGCGGCTGCGGTTTGTCTTCTTGAAGTGCTCGAGCGTATCCCAAGAGCTTTGCAGCGATGGCATTGCACGCACGGAGGCTGGTGTCGCATTTTCCGCCTTTGGCTCTGCCTCGACCTTTGTCTCGGCCAACCGTCGCCGACTCGTTGACTGACGCAGCACATTTGGCTCGGCGCCGACGCGCGCGAGGTCGAGCGACTTGATCTCGGGCTCTCTTCGGACTATCGGTGCAGCTGTGGGCTCCACTTTGGTCGTAGCGTTGAGCCAGATGGGACCGCTTGATATGACGCTCTTTGCCGTCTCGAGCCGCGGCGCCTCAGGAGGTGGCTTGGACGCGGGTGGTGCCTTCTTGCGCATGTTGGCGACAACGTTGATCCACGTGCAGGCAGATTCATCCTATCCCTGAGCTCGTAACACAATGCAGTGTCAAGATCTACCTCGGCGCCAAACGACTCTGGGAGGGACCCAGACCACTTGCACTGGTTGTCGACAAAGACTTCGACGTCTCGGACGCACGCAGCTTGCAGTTTCTAGCGTCACGAGATAATGGTACAGACCACTGCGTGCGTCGGTTGTACGCTGTTGTAGTTCCAGATGCAGAGCTTGCTGGGGACGACACTGACTGAAAAAGCGATCTGGAGTGGGTTGGCGTCGATCTGGCGACTACATCCGTGCGTCACAAGTGGTGGCGACTGGAAGAAGACGCACCCGAGCCACATGTCGCTCTCGTTGGTCGTGTAGGCGACGCCGTTGAAGAGCCGCGCCAAGTCGCGCACCATACCGTTCGACTTGGGGATCGGACGCATGTCGGCTTGGCCACTGTAGAGCTTAACCGACTCGAGTGGCACGTCGAGCTCGTTTCCGTCCATGTCGTACACGGAAATCTATCAACACTCAACTTTCGACAACTTTGGAATAGGTACCTGTGTGAGCCCGAGCACGCGCGTCTTGCCCCAGGACGAGAGCAGCTTGAGCCGAACCTCGTGCATCGCCGCCGCAGTTTCCTTGGGCAGCGATGTTATCGAGGTAGACACGAGTGCTGGTGCAGGCGGCAACGGCGCACTCTCGATCGAGACGCTTTCTCGAACTGGCTCGGCTACCGACCGCTGAGCAGTTGGTGGGGGTTCGTCTCGTGCCACGGGCTTGGTCGTCGGGCTCGCGCACGGCGGCAGCGGAAGCCGCGTGGCCTCTTCGACTTGGCGCAGCTTTTCGAGGGTCTCGGTGCGTCGCTTTGCGAGGAGCTGCTGCAGTTCTTTCTCTTCGGCATCGAGCTGCTGCAGCAAGTGCTGGCGCCGCGCCTCGGCTTGTGCGAGTAGCGTCTCCTTTTCGGCGCGCTCCTGCTGAAGCTTGGCTTCCATCTCGGCCTCCCATGCGCGCTGCTGCTGCGTGAGCTCCGAGATGGGTGCGGTGAGCTGCTGCCAAATGGTCGGGTCCCCAATCGACTCTTGGAGCTCCGAGACGTCGGCGGCCCTACGCATACATGCTACGTCGCTGAAGTGCGAAATGCGCCGTACTGTTTCTCGCTCGTGGTAAATTTATTGAGGCGCGAGATGAGGGCTTTTTGCTTGTCGCGCGAGAGGTCGTGGATGAGCGAGAGAAGCTCCTTGGTCGTTTGGCTCATGACGTCCACGGGCGCACTGGTGATGGTGACGTCTTCGTGCGCACGCATTGTTGCGACCGTCTGTAGCGATGGCGCACTGGCGTCGTCGTCAAACTCTTCAAAGGACTCGTCCAAGTACTCTTCGTCGTCGCTTTTCTCGTCGGCCGAAGTGCTTGCACGCTCGGGCTTGGCGTCGACAGGGCAAGCCATGGACACTCTCGCGTTGAACGTAGAACTCTCGCATGGCTGTGTACATGGTGGGTTGAGGCTTGCACTTGACTGTTCTTGGCTGGCACTGGGTGGGTCCGGACTGGCACTGGGTCGTGGATCGCTGGTACTTGGTGGCTGGTTGCTACTGTCCTCGGTGCAGTCGCTAGGATCGACAAAGACGATACGCCCATCGCGCTGCTCGACCACTCCTTGTGGTCTACGAGAGCGAGTTTACGTGGACTCGATCGGTTCGGAGGACGAACGTACTTGGCCCACTTTTGCTTGACGCGTGGTGCGGCCTCTGTAGCGCTGTGCAGCGGCAGCGCCGACGTGGACTTTGTCTCGCGCTTGGGTTCGGCACGCGGCCGCAATTCGGCGGTCGACCCGGGGCTCTTAAGCTTGGCGGCGGATTTGGCGCGGGGCTTGGCCGATGCGGCGCGTGGCTTCCGCGACGCGTTCTCGCCGTTAAAGTTGGTGCTAAACCCGCTTTCCTTTTCCTCGAGGTCGCGGTCGTTCCGAGACTGCTCTTCGAGCTTCTTCTTGATTCGGTTGCGCTCCTCGAGGACGCGGATGTACTGCAGCTGCTTTTCCGTGGCCACCGTGTCGGCGGCAACTGATGGCGCAGCGAACGTCGGGACCGTCGCCTGCTTTGCCCACTTCTTCTCGCGCCGGGGGTCCGCCATCGACGAGCCGATCGCGGTCGTGGATCTGCACCGTTTCGCGACCACCTCGAAATAGTGTACGATTCCACACTAAACACACGTAATCGCGCAAAAGTCCTAACGGAAATACTGTGTGCATGATGCTCGAGTGATCAACACAACGCTCTCGGGTCCGCAAGTCCGAACAACCCATAGCGCGAGTGCGCCTACGAAGCGATGACGATTTGGCTGCCGAATTAGCTCTCCCAGGTACCAGGCGTGCGATTCCTCTGTGGTGGCTACTGTTCTCATGATGCAGTTGCCGCCCAGCTCATGTAGAGGAAGCCATTCGACGGTCACATGGGAGAAAAGTAAAAGACATGGAGCTGATGGCGATAAGCAAGGGAATATTCCTTTGGGCAAAGTGACGGAGCTGATCGTGGCGCGTGACGGGGCGGGGTCGACTGTGCACCTCGTGCTGCATTGGTTGATGGCAGCGCGTGCCGGCGCTGGCTCTTGCGTACGCTCGCTGCTCCCGCGACGCTTCTTTGCCATCAAATAGGTCGCGTCCATGCACATGGCGTGAGTCGCGGGCTCCCCGGAGGCTTCCGCTGACGCTGACGTCGACAGAGGTAGCCGCCAATTGCCACTTTCGGGTGCAAATGGTACCCGAAAATGGCAATTTGGATGCTATTCGCTCTTTCAGTACCTCAGGTGCACGACCGACGACATGCTACTCGTTGACGCATCTCGTCGCGATGAAACCAATTGCTGCGATGAGGCAAGCGATCATCATCTCGCGTCGTGTGTGCTGACAGAAGGACCAAGCACCCGTCAACAAATGGAAAAAGTCGAAGCTTCGAGAGGCGCTCGTACCAACTTGAACCTGCGGCGATTTTACCCAGTTGTACTGAATAAGCGAATCCGTCGTTTTGCAGCATACAAACTGCAAGCTCGACCGACAGTTGCATAGCCGCGGGGAAGGGGCAAACCATATGGCCGAACCCGCGGAAGCTTGTCCACGGCGCTTCGATCTCGCTCTTCCAGCAATCGCTTCCTTCATCTCCGTCGAGGGTAGCTCTGCAAAGAGAGAGGTAGTCGATGCAGCAAAGATATTTCGACTAACTCGTGGGCCACGTAAGCGCTCGGACGGAGCTTTCGCTAAGTTTCGCGAATGTGTGCGTTTAGATTTCCACCAATCACAGCGCGTCCTTTTAAGTGATCTATTTATGTCGAACGTATTTTAATGTGGTGCATCGGTCACAGAACTTGGGTTTTGTAAGAGTGGCGTCAGTTGCTGCAATGAAACGTTTAAAATAATTTGCGCCGAATTCTGCGTAAACTTCGAGCATAGATCTCCACTTTTCCTTTTTCAGATCCCAACCAACATCAATACTCCGATGGACCTCAAGAACCTTGCCCGCCGCTTCAGCCGCAGCGACGAGACGCCGACGTCGCCGCCGCCCGCGCCCTTTGCCCGCCCGGCCAGCATCGACACGGCGCCCGTGCCCTTTGGCCACAACACGGGAGACCATGAGGAGCTGCGCCGCGCCCGCCGCACCCGCAGCAAGAGCGAGTGCCTCCTCCTGGCCAAGAACCACTCGAAGAGCGACCTCCCGACGCCGTGCCAGGACTACATTTCGCAGATCCAGCTCATCATGGCCAAGAACGAGACGTCGCGCAGCCGCAACGGCAGCAACAGCAGCACGACCTCGGCCACGTCGCCGGTCGGCTCCAAGTCGACGCCGCCGACGCCCGTGGGGCCGGACGCAGCGTTCGTGCACCGCCGACGCAGCAACTCTGTGCGGACGAGCGCAATCCCGGCCACCGAGTAAGCGTCCCGCCTTGGCCTATCTAATCGTTATCTATCTCGCGCCCACGTCGAAGGCGCTATCTTAAAAGCCGCTCGTCCTCGTAATAAATAATCTCTGTTGTACGTCTTACGACCTTTTGAGTTTACGGTGCAACGCGCTGGTAGTAGTACTGGCGCTGCGCCGACCGCCATGACAGGCCCGCTGGGATCGCGGCCACGTGCCGGGTCGTCCGCGTCGTCTTGTCGACCGCATGCGTGATGCACCGGCAAACGCTGCAGCCGTAGACACTCCACTCGGGCAAGTCGCCGAGAAGCTCGGGCACCGCCCGCGACGGGAGGTGGGCCAAATCGCGCGGCTCGATCGTCGACGCGAGGAGCCACGCCACAGAGAAGGCGCCACCGTAGGTCGCTGCCAGCGCGTTCTTCAGCTGTTGGTCGACATATGCACAGAGAGCACACGGTTTCTGCGCATCGCAGCACACGACCGTCGAGATCGTCGTGAGCTCGAGGCTGCACTGTCCGCAAAAGCACTAGAAGACACCAGTATCGCACCAGAGGTCGCTCGACGCACGCACCTGAAAGGCGACGGCGGCGTCGTGCAGGGTCGTGCGCTCCCGCGTCTCCTCCCAGAGAAAGAGGTGGGCGAGGGCCTTTGGCGACGGTGTGTAGCCTGCGTATGGGTTGATTGCGCGCTGCGCTTCCTTGACGGCTTCAAAGCCCGAGAGCCCGAAAAACGTCATCTTGAACATGTAAACAATAACAAGGAGCGCCGGCACCAAGTCGGGGGGCGCCAGGAGCACCGCCTATTCCATGCGTTGCGACAAGATCCGAACACGCGGCTGCGTACTGTCTTGGTGCGGGCGACGTGCAGCTCCCAGAGCCGCCGGCAAATCTTGGGCGAGAGACCGAATAGCTGTGCCATGTAGTGGTCGTCTATCTCGCTCGCACGCTCATCGAGCGCCGCATCGTTCTCGTCGTCGAGCGTCGTTGTTGCCTGGCGCCGCGGCGGCGCCACAAGGGGGACGTAGCTGCTCGCGTCAGCCGCAAAGCGCACGATGACGTCGGTCGCCAACACCGCGTCGGCGGTCGTCGCGACGAAGAGGCGGTCGTGGAGCTGGAACCGAGTTGGCTTTTTCGACGCGACGCAGCCATAGTCGATGCGGATGCGGTGGCTTATGGCCTCGAGCGTCGACGGTGCGAGCAGCGGCGCGGGCGCACTTTTCTTGCTCAGTAGCGACGACGTGTCGGCTTGGAGGGTGCTCACGAGGCGCTGGATCGCGCTCAGCGTCGGGCGCCCAGCTGCCGACCGCACGAGGATGAAGCGGAGGAGCTGGCAAACCACCTGCGTGTGGGCGTCGACGTTGCCGTTGAAGTTGCTCAGGCTCGACCGGAGCGTAGCTTCGTGCGTCGGCGTCACGATCGACGCGGACGAGTGTTTGAGATGCGCGTAAAACTCGGACCAGTCGTCTAGACAACAACAAGTGTTTCGCGCTGGATCGAGAGTCGACAATACCGTAGCAAAACATGAGCTGGCCGGTTAGGAGCTCGTAGAGGAGACAGCCGAGCGCCCAAATGTCGGCGGCGGCGCTGATCTTGGTCGTCGTATCGAGCATCTCGGGGCTCCTTATGGCCTCGGTGCCCCGTGTGTGGAGGCAGTCGAATTCAGGGTTGCGCGGCGTCGCATTGACGAACGACTCGCCAAAGTCGCCCATGCAGAGGTCGAACGTTGCGTTCCCCGGCCAGTACGCCTCGCGAAGCAGCACATTCTCACACTATTCACGTATAAGAGCCGCTGGAGACAAGTTGTCGTCACCTTGATGTCAAGATGCGTCACGTGGGTCGCGTGGATGGCCGCGACCGCGCTGCAGACCTACAACATGGGTTGCAGGTACCGAGGCACTGGAAGAAAGGTCGTGACCTCGCCAAAGATGGTCATGAGCACGTTGAACGGGTCGGGAAACGCGTAGACGTGACTCGCCCACCACTCTTTGAGGTTGTGCGGCGCGTACTCCATCGCGATGTAGTACCCGTCCTCCGAGACGCCGTAGTCGAGGATCTGGATGGCCGCGACGCAGCCGCGGAGGTGCTGGAGCACGAGCACCTCGTTGTAGAGAGCGCTCACCACCGAGCGCTCGTGCGCGTACGTCTGCGGCGCGAGGAGCTTGATCGCGAGGCTCTGGGCGTCGCGCAGCGGTATTTCGGCCGTGCACTTGTAGATGGTCCCGAACGCGCCTTGGGCCTTGGACTCGAACTCTTTAAAGTAGAGCGACGATTTGGAGAACGACGTGGACGAGAGCCGAAGGAGACGCTCTTGCGCGCGAAGCCGGTCGCTCCGAGGCACCGTCCACGGCGGGTACGTGCAGAGCCACTCGTCAAGAATGTCGGCCTCGGCCGCGAGCAGTCGCGGAAGGTGGAACAACACGTCGAGCCCCAGCACATTGGCATTCTTGGGCTGCGCAAAGCGCCCGCCGACAAACGGGTGCAAGTGGACGTCGTTGGCGTCGACAGCGTACGACAGCAGCAGCTCGACAAAGTCGATAAAATGGCGTCCGTCGCCTGCGAGGAGCGCCAGTGCACGCACTTCGTTATCCACCGTTTCGTCTTGGTCGCCCTCCGTGCTCCTATGGCTGCTGTCGTTGACAGGCTTGGAGGGTTTTAGCGCAAGTGCAAGGTTGAGCAGTGGGACACCGGCTGTCGTCGTCGGTGTCAGTGGCATTGTGGGCATTCTGGGACTGCTGCCGTGCTGCAGCTGGAGTAACCCTGGCGTGGGAGCGACGGAGGTGTTAACGACAAAGGGAAAGAGCGCGCGGGTGACGAACGGTAGCAGCGGGGACGATGCTGGCGCAAGGGTGGTGACGCAGCGCCAGAGACCGAGACTGCGGGCGTCGCACACGCCATGGTAAAACGCTTCGAGGAAGCAGCTCCAGAGCGCATCAAACATGCCTTGTCGGTTCAAAACGCGCATCTAGATGACACGACATCAACTCAGCGACAAGTCGTCGTACGTACCTCGCGGAGAGCCGCCACGTGCACAATGTGCAGCATCGCCACGTAGGCCTCCGTGGCCGACACCGTCATGGACCGCGTGAATGGGAAGGGTGTCGCCAGCACACACGTGACGATGGCGTCGAGGCCGGGAGGCACCTCATTCTCGTCCCCCATGTCCATGCAGCGCGCAATCCACCTGAGGAGCGCTGCTCGTTGGGCGTGGCGAGCGTCGGACGACCGCGGGTTGACGTCAACGCCAAAGACGATGACGGCGTGCCGCTGGGCGAGCGCCAGTGGCGGCCCGTGCGACCACGCCCAGGACGCAAACGCTTTTTGGTTGTCGGCGTCGAGGCGCGCAAACAGGGCATCGCAAACCTCAAAGTACGGCGTCGCGCTCGCTGGGGCTAGTTCGGTACTCATCAAGCTGAAGCGGGACAAGACGCAGTCGAGGCCTTTGTCTTTGGGCCAGCAAATCGTCTTGAACGGCGCGAGGAGCTGCGGAAGAAGACGGAGGAGATGCTCCGGTGGCGTCGACTGCGTCTCGAGAACCGCGACGACATAGTCGCCCACGCACGGCTCGGTCATGTTTTGTGCCAGCTCAAAGAGCTGAAGCCAGGTGGGGAGGAGTGACGAGCATGCATGGGCGTGCGAAGTCCAATAGAGCATCTAAAGTGGACATATCTAGTCCACTGGTGACACCATAGGATTCTACCTCGTGGACTTCCAACTCGAGCGTGCGCGGCCAATTGGGCTCGCAGAGCACGGTGCCGAGAAGCATGAGCGGCTCGAGCGCACGCAGCACAAAACCGAGGATTGTTACGAGCATCGGCGTCGTCTTGTCGTTGGCGCAGGCTTCGCAGACGGGCTTGGGCGGCGCGATAGTCGGGGCGATCGACGCCCGAGGCGCCGTCGGACGTGGCGGGGTCCGCGGCAGCTTGGAGTACTCGTCGCGGACGAACGCAATGTTCTTGTGGCTAAAGCGTAGTGCCGCCTACAGATGCATGGGCCCCTCGAACAAAATGTAATGAGGGACGACCTGCTCGGCGAGGGCGACCCAGCTCGGGGTTGCTTCGGCTGTTGTCGTAAGGCGCAGGTCCGGAGCGACACTCGAGGTAGTTACGACGTACTCGCAGCGCATGGGCCCCCGGTTGCTCATGAGCGTTTTGTACTGCTTGAGCACGAGTGCGATGCCGTGGTTGTGGAAGAAGATGCGGGGCACGTCCTGGAGCGCAAAGAGGTCGCTCAAAATCGAAAACAGATACGCCACGTCGCTTCGCGCCTCGTCGAGTCGTAGAAGTACGAGCTGCAGCAGCTGCTCGAGGCCGATTGAGTGCGCCTCGTAGAGCTCTGCGAGGCGCACGATGAAGGCTTTGGCGCCAGTACTCGTCACAACCGCACACGCCCGCTTCCCGCCCGTGCGATGCGGCTGCAACGACAGGAGCGCCGCTGCCGCGTCCAATCGCTTCTTTAAGAGGTTTTCGTGGGCCTCGAGGCCAGGCAAGTCGAGCCACGCACTCAAGTCGGCTTGCAGCGGCCCGTCGCCATCGCGAATGCGCTCGGTATGCACCTGGATCGAGACGAGGAGGTCGAGCTCGGTCGCGTCGGCGGGTGGCGGCTCTGGTGCGTGGGCGCTCGTGTACATGAGGTTTTCGATCGACGCGCGGCGCATCTTGGGCACAAAGTTGGCTGGCATGCACACAACGTCCTTGATGTCGCTGAACCTAATATGCACAATGTTGTCATCCTCCCTGCAAAAAGCCGCGATCGCACGTGATGTTCCACGGAAACGGAATCGCCCAGCTCTTGGAGGTGAACCAAAATGCACCACTCGTCGTCGGTAAACGCACGTCGATGCGGCGACCCTCAAAGTTGAAGCACAGAGGGTACGACGCGCCGCCAACGAGCAGCGCTATGCCCAGTCCCCGCGCCTTGGTTGGCACAAGGATCGTGGGTTTGGTGGCGTCGGGAGCAACGAGCGATGCGTCCTGGCAGATCTCGCTCACCTTGATACTCACCTGCGGCATGAACTCGCGCCAGTAGAAAGCGACGTTGGCAAACGCATCTGCCGACAAGCGAACTTCGTGCTCGGCCGACCCGACGCGCCACTCGATAAAGGACTTCGTGCGCTGAAACCAAGGCGACGGGCCGAGCGGAAGCCGCGCAAGCTGCTGGTGCGTGCGATAGCGCACCATAATGGAGAGGGACGTGATGGGCGCCCGCGCAGGCTTCCAGAAACGAATCGGCGACTCGAATATGAGGAGGTAGCTGCCCATGGGCTGGCCCTCGAGGTACCGGCGGGCGGACGCAACGTCCGGCGCGATCACCGCCACGAAGGCCTTCTCGTCGGGCCCATCGAGTGGTGCGATGCGGACGCGGCCAGGGCGCACCATGGACGAGGTCGTCGTCATTGGCGGCGCTGCCATCGTTGCCGCCCGAAAAAGGCCAAGAGTAACCGATCTCGGCCAGAGAAACACCTCAAACTCTGTTTACCCACCAATTACAGTGGACTCGAACAGAATTTGGGCAAACCGAGACGATGGGGATCATCATGCATGCGCTTTGAGGAGGGTATCGGACCGCCTCGCCAAGGTGTTATCTGCAACACACCCGACGCACACTGTGCACTAGCCGACCACAGGGGATTCCGTTGCGTGTCAAGCTTGATTTCTGCCGTTTGGTGCAAACTGAGCTGCAGGTGGTGGCCCTTTGGCTGCACGAATGCGAGGTCGGCGGCAACACGCTTTTTGATTTGTCCCTAAGGAAGGGCCAAGCATGTGTGGGTCGAGTAAAACCTCCTTAAAACGTAATATCTCTCGCCACTTTAACGCAAGATCAGCGTGGTCACGAAAGGGCAGATGAGCATCCCGTGGCCCGTGAACCGGCTGAGCTACGAAGCCATTTCGGACGACGACCATGCGTTCGTCGAGCGCACCTTCACCGGCCGCTGCGATGCGCCGCTGGTCGCCAAGTGGGTCCAGCAGTTCAAGCCGAAAGCGTCGTTCCAGAAGCGGCTTCTCGTCATCTCAAAGTACCGCGTGCTGACGCTCAAGCCTCAGACCATTGGTGCCAAGCTCAAGGTCGCCAAGGACTGGGCGCTCCTCGACCTGCTCAAGCTGCAGGTCGACGCCTCCGAGAGCGCGCACACCCTCAAGGTACGCACGCGAGCGACTGCGATGGTGCTCACGGACCTCATGGCCGATAGCTCATCTTCAAAGCCGGGCGCATTCTGCAGCTGGACCCGGGCGTGCACTGCGAAGATGTGGCGCGGACACTCCAGCGCTGCCTCCATACGATGGCACTCGCGTACCCGCCTGCGTCCAAGCCCAAGATGGTGCTGCCGCTTGGCCTCGCCTGGGACGAGTTTACCCACGACGCGCCAAGGCTTACGGACGCATACATATCCTTTTCCACATAGCTTTGTCGACGCTTCTTGAGCCAAGGAAAGTTCCTTGACGGAGGATACCGAGCGTATTGCGACTGGTACAAGGCGCCCTTCCGCGACTGGGTCGCCGCCAAGCTGGAAGAGAGCAGTGTCGCGACGCCACCCGTGCTTGACTACGAAGCGTGCCTCTTGGCGGGCGGTGGTGAGATGGAGACAGCCGAGAAAACGCTTGATGCCATGGCTGTTGTGAGCACCTGTCGTTTTGCTCCTTCGTTCCAGGGGTAAATCACTGCGTCCTTCGAGGCTCATACGATTCGGTAGCCTCCTTGTGCACGACGTGGTCCTTGACGATGACGGCGTGTCACGCGCCTTTGAAACCATTGGCTACAACCCCAACCTCCGCGAGTACGCTCCACGCCATGCCACCATCTCGGAGTGCAGTCGCAAATATCGTAGGCTCCGACTGACTAAAGTGCACCTCTCGCGATCGGCACTGAGCGCGCTTGAAGAGGTGGTGCAGTGCAAGCTCAAGGACCCAAGCTCGTGGCGACTCGAGACGATCGATCTTTCCGAGAACAAGCTGGCGCGGGAAATGGTCGTCGCGCTGGCTTCGTGCCTCAAGCAGTTTCCGTCCGGGTTGCACGTACGTCCTCAACCTGTTTCTTCTCGGGCTTGAGAGAGCGCAGAACTTGTATTTGGCCAAATGTGGCATGACCCACGTGCTGCCGCTCGTGACGACGCTCAAACTTCCGAGCGTCCGACGACCCATCTTCGCTTCATGTTCTCATGGGCTGGGTAGTGGACAGCGACGCTGCGAGTGCTCGATCTCTCGTTCAACCCGCTCGACTTGCAGGTAGCCTCGTTGTATATGGAGGTGCTAGTATTGCTTGGGCGTAGAGCTCGACAGCGCTCACCGAGTGGCTTGGGCGAGCCTCCTCCCTCACGCGGCTGGCAGTGGTGAGTATCATCGCCGTAGCATTGTGGTTTAGATGGTTTGGTGCAGGCAGGCACAAATATCGATGCGGCAAAGCTCCTGAGATCGATCCATCTCAACACGGTACTGCACACGTCGTCGCTCCTGTCGCTCGACCTCTCGCACTTGACGCTCAAAGACGAAGCTGTTGCCGACCTGGGTGCGGTGCGTGGCGTCTTGTCATGCGCAGTCGACGCAGGTCATTTGCTAGATCCTTGGCGCAACGCAGAGCCTCGCGAGTCTCGTGCTCCGGAACTTGAGCGTGCCCAAGCGTGGGTTGGAGACGATTTTGACGCCGTGGTTCGCCAACCCAAGGTTCACGTCGCAGCCATTGAGTCTCGACATGAGTGAAAACGACTTGAGCACCAAGGGCAAAGTCCTCGCCGACCTGTTTTTGGCGTCGCCGCTCGTGTTGCGCGAGAGTCTCTGGTTGAACCAGTGTGGGCTCCGAGACGAGGCCGTGCGTCGTTGCCGCCGCACTCGTTATGACTGACAGGACCATTGCGTAGCTCGCCGTGGTCGTTGCCGCCTTGAGCTCGTGCCGTCAACTCCGCGCGCTGCATCTCGAAAACAACGGCGGGACGCCGCTCGCCTCGATGCTTGGCGCGTTCTTCTCGGGTCCGCTCGAGATGCGCCCTGGCGACGCCTTTGCCACGCTCCTCACCTCGTCGCGTGCGCTGCAAGAGCTCTACATAGGCAGCACGATACCCTCGCTGCGCTACCCCCTCTCGGTGCTGCGCCCGATTGTCCACTCGATAGGCTCGTCGGCGTCGAGCCTCGAGGTGCTCGACCTCTCTGGCAACCGTGGCGGCGATGAAGTCGCCTTGTGCCTCGCCTCGGCGCTGCCCAAAACCACCAAGCTCCGCGCGCTCTTCTGGGATGGCAACCACACGAGCGTACTCGGGTTCGAGCGCTTCCACGAAGGACTCTTGCGCAACGCGTCCGTGACGGTGATGCCCGTGCCGATCCAGGACACACGCCGCCTCCTCGACCTCAAGGAGCCGCGCCGCGAGGCTTTGTTTGCCGTCCTCGGCGCGCTCTGTACGCAGCAAGGACGATTAGCCTCCGGCTCATGGGCGTGTATGTAGACGGGTGCATCCAGCGCAACATGGCGGCGGCGACCACGAACGTCCTCGCCTCCGTGATCGTGCGCGAGGATCTGCTGCGTGGGAGCTACGAAGAGGGCGCTCTGTGGCGCAGCACCTTGTTGCGGAACTCGCCGATCGACGTGCGCCAGAGCTGGTCGAGCGCGCTGCAGTCGGTCCAACCAATGGTATAGTGTCAACTAAAAACTGGGTATTACATCTGCTTCTATTCGTTCTTGTGGAGCGTGCCAGCGAGAAATAACTTATTGAAGCTCTTGCCAGCGTAGCGGTTGATGTTGTCGCAGTACGTGTTCATTTGCTTGGTGATGAGGAGCGACTCCAAGCGGCTCGGCTGGTTGAGGGACTTGGCGATCGACGGGTCCTCCTCGGCAAGGAGCTCGTCGCCGTTCTCGCGGCGCACCTTGTTTTCTTCGCGGCGCTTCTGAACCCACTGGCTGTACTGTGCCCGCTGCTTGGCGACCGCGCGCTCGTAGCCCTGGAATTTGTAGTGTTCTTGCGCCAGCTCGTCGGCCCACGCGCTGAGGTTCTGGAGGCTGTTCTCCAAGTACGTGTTGGTCGCAAGGTCGAGGCGGTCAAACTCGCAGTCGGCGAGCTTCTGCGCCTGCAGTTCGAGGAGGTAGCACGTCACAATGTCCGAGTTGTGGAGCTCGATCGGGATCTCCTCGAGCATCGTCGCGGCGCGGATGTCGGCCTTGGCAAAACCTTCCTTCGTGAAGGCCTTGGCCTTGTACGTCTCGAGGAACGCGTCCGTGAGGCGGAAAGCCTTGAGCGAGAGCGCACCCTTCATCGTCTCCAGCGGGTCGTACACGATGCAGATCGCGTTCTGGCCGAGGTTCTTCTGGTACTGGAACTGGTACTCGATCGTCGCCGTCGTCGCGTACGTCGAGTTCATCGCCGACTGGTACCAGCCCACCTTGTTGTTGTCCATGTTGACCTCGCGGAGGTTCTTCATCATGTCGATCTGGTACTCATCCGACTCGGAAGCGAACATGACAGACTTGTCCTTGTTCGTCGGCGACGCCGGCGACGCGCCGGGCGCGGCCGCCACGACCGGCGACGGGAAGCTGTTGGTCACCTCAAGCGTGGCGTCAGCTTCAAGGCCGAGGAGCGAGCCGGCGACGGAGCGGGGAAGATTCTCGTGGCAGTGCTTGATGATCTGGAGCAGCGCAAGGCCCTCGAGCTGGACCTTGTCCACGCGCGTCATGATCTCGGCCATGATGAAGCTGCTGACGGGAAATGGAGGCGCCCGGAAATGACTGAACCAACGGCCTTTGAGCACCAAGCAACACGTATCCGGACCAACCGGACAGTGGACTTCGAACTTCGGATGGTCGACCAGCAAGGCTATGCACACGCGCCTTTAGCTGCCTTGGCCGTCCAGCTCTGCGCGGCAAGCTGTGCGGCAATGCATGGGAATGAAGGCCAGGTATGCTCATGGCAATCGATTGAGGCCTCCTTAAGGTATATCGATGGATGTTTCGTATACCGTCGAGATGCCCGACGGCAGGCCACGTCACTGCGTGAATGCAAACGATCACGAGCTGATGGGTTATTCCCAAAAACGCCGACACGTTTCAATTATGGTAACCTCTACTACAAGCAGTTGCAGCACAGGTCGTCGTGCCAACAATGATGCTCCAACATATTGTAGCCGTCGAGTGACTTCACCGTTGCTGTGTACTGTGGACAATCTAATGCTAACTAACGCATTGCATCAAGTAGGAATGGGCTGGAAAATGTTGTCGAAACTCTCATCTCGGGCTCGAGCACCATGGTTCAGTCGTCCTATGCTGCTGCACAGAGTCCACGACCACAGCTGAAATGTAAGATCTCTCGATATGATGCACTTCAACGCGGTGGAAATGCGTGCGTTTAGACAAAGGCGTCTTGGGGTTCTGATGGACTTCGAACTTCGAGCTCGCATGGCGCGGTTGGGAGATTGATTGGTGGGAAGCGCAGATACCAGTCGTGCCCAAAGAGCATTTTCCAAAAGCCACCATGCCCAAGTCCCGCCGTGTCCGAACGAAGCCGCTTACGCAGACGAGCAAGAAGGGCGCGGACCTCAAGAAGGGCGTCGTCGACTCGATCCGGTCGGCCGTCGATGACTACAGCGCCATCTACGTCTTCTCGTTTGAAAACATGCGCACGAACCACTTCAAGGTGGTGCGCGCCGACTTTGCCGACAGCCGCTTCTTCCTTGGCAAGAACAAGGTCATGAAGGTCGCACTCGGCCGGTCGCCCGAAGAGGAGTACGCCGAGAACCTCTTCAAGCTCTCGAACGACATCTCGGGCAGCGTCGGTCTTCTCATGACCAACAAGGGCGACGACGAAGTCCGTGAGTACTTTGCCAAGCTCAGCGTCGAGGACTACGCCAAGTCGGGCTTTGTCGCGACCGAGACGGTCACGATCCCCGCTGGCCCGCTCTCGCAGTTTGTTGGCTCGATGGTCGAGTCGCTCCGTGCGCTCGGCCTCCCGGTCGACCTCAAGCGCAGCGTCATCACGCTCAACAACGCGCACACGATCTGCAAAGAAGGCCAGACGCTCACGCCCGAGCAGGCCAAGCTCCTCGTCCACTTTGACAAGAAGATGGCCACCTTCAACGTCCAGATGCTCTCGCGGTGGTCCAAGGACGGCCAGTACGCGCGCATCGCCGAGCGCAAGACGAAGGCGTCGGCCAACAACGACGACGAAGACGCCGACATGTCGGACTAATTCCCTACTGTAACTTTTTATAGACAAATCTACATCTGAACTATCTAGATCTGGTGTTTTGCGGAGCTGCCACAAATCTGCGCTCAGGTGGCGTCAACCAGATTTGGTCGCTCGTCGGCTTGGTCAGCAACGTCCCGACGGTGGAAGATGCGTCATTTTTGGCGGGAAAAGTCCACGACAGAGATTGCGCAATACCGATCCAAGGAGAACTTCCATGGCGAATGCAGTCTTCTCCAAAGCCAAACGATTTCGGTCCAGTGTCAAAAGACACCAGCCTTGGCCTTTCTCAAATGACCGACCTCGTATCACTTCATGGCGCCGATGCCCAAAGCCAAGCGACCTACATGTACTCGGGCAAGGATGTTGTACTTACGTGTACTATGGGTGCTCTCTTCCGCATGGTGCTGCCATGATTAGGTCGACGTCGCCATTGCGAGCGATTCGGTCGCAGCTTCCCGCCATTCCGCAAGCCTTGTGCTGTGTTCCGGTTCGTTGCGCGCCAACCTGATCTGTTGTTCAGCGACCGACGAGCGCTGGGCTCATCTTGGGCTGCGAACTACATTTGGCAACGACGAGGTCGCTACGCCGACTGGTTTGCTCGTCGCGCGCGCTTGCGAAGAAGACAACTGACCCGTGTCGACTGGAGTTGTAATAACACTGCGGTATGGTATGGTCTGTGACTCGAGTCGCCGTCCGAACATTGACCGTAGTATCGGCGTTGTCAACCCGTTCAGTTACGGCTCCACAAGGTTGATAAAAAGTTGATTTGTTTCTACTGCCGCAACGCAAAGTCATCGCCGTCAAAGCGGAACGTGCTCGTGTCCAGTGTGAACGCAAAGGACGACCCGACCTTGGGCACGAGGACAACTTTTTCTTTCGCCGTCACGAGCTGAAAGACGTTCTTGTGCTCGGCCAAGACGACGCCTTCAAGCCCGATAAGACCCGGATTCCGCGACCGCACGACTAGAGTCAATAGATATAAGTTGGGATCAGCAAGGATCGAATCGCCGACTACCTCTCAAGAGACAGCCGTTGTAGTCGGCCTTGCGGAGCTTGGCACCAAAAGAACACGTAGCAAACGACGTGCTGGCCGGGATCGCCGACCTATTGAGCGTAGTTCAGCGGCGACAATACACAATAAGTGCTTACAGGTCCTCGTTGCCGATGAGGTCGGCCATGTATTGCAGCCAGAGGTCATGCAGCTCCAAGGCCGACGCATATCTACAAGCGTATTCCTTTAGCGACAATCGATGGAGAAACGTACGGAAGAGATGGCGTGGCGACATGGTAGCCGGCGGCCCGACGCTGCCCTTGGCTCAGGCGCTTGGGAAACTACGGATCGAGATATGTCAGTAGCGCACGACGAGAGCGATGTCTGTACGTGGATGGACTGGAGCGCCGCATTAAGTGGCTTCTTGGCCTTGTGCGGGTTGTGCAGTTGCAGCGCTTTGCTCTTGATCTTCTCCACAAAGTCTTCGGTCGTCGACGGCTTCTTGAGCGCCATCGCTGCGAGCTGCGTCTCGAGAAGCTTGATGTTTTGGCGCCCTTTCGTCGCGCTTGGCGCCAGACGCAGCTTGGTCTCGTCGGTCAGAGTCGCGTAGAGTGGATCCACAATAGCCTTGGGTGCTTGTTGCTTGGCATTCGGTTTGCTGGGTGCAGACTTGGGCTTCTGGTTGCTCTTCTGGTTGTTTTTCTGGCTACCGAGTGCGTTATTGGCTTTCTGGTTGGCCTTTTGGTTGGGCTTGCTCGTCTGGACCACGCCAGGCGCGAGTGGCTTGACATGCGTGAGCTTGGGCTTCTTCGTCGCGAAGGCTGCGTCCAGCGAGTCGAGGAGCTGCTTCCGCTTCTCCATCGCGCTGTTGAGTTGCTGGATCCCAATGATGACGAGTAATTCCTTCAAAGCAGCGCTGTCTGAATCGGGTGCTGGTCGTTCCGGATGCACTCGAAATTCGCACAGATAAAGCGTCCTGGGATCTTGCATCGTTGACGCAGCAAGCCACTTCGAGCGATTGTCTCTGCTACGAGAGGGTCAAGGAGCCCGCTGTACGCAAAGCATCGGCCCCGAGCCGCTTGGCGACATAATATCAGGTGGTATCCGTTTGTTTTCCCTCTAAAACTTATTGCGTAAAGGTCCTCGGTTGGAGTGTACAAGTGTACTGATATAGCGAATATGCAACGTATCCGGACACTGCACTGCCCTGCAGTATATTTCTGCACCTGGGTGCGTTGTAATGAAGGAACATCTCGGTCCATTTGCGATCGGACCAATCAAACGGCGGCAAATTGGGAAGATTATTATTGGTTGGTAGCTGTGGTTTCACCGAGCGCCATCGAATCATCGTCTGTTGAAGTTCTCAAAGCGATGGCCCGCAAAGGATCCGCGATCGCGCCGCAGCGCCCTGCCGCCAAGACGCCTGCTGCCAAGACGCCTGCCGCCAAGACGCCTGCTGCCAAGAAGCCTGCTGCCAAGAAGCCCGCGCCGAAGAAGCCGGCGACGCCCAGCAGCGACGAGGAAGAGGAAGAGCCGACGGACGAAGGCAGCCAGGAAGAGAGTGAGGATGGCGACGACGAGGGCGATGACGACGACGATGAAGACGAGGAGGACGAAGATGACGATGGCTTCGAAGACCAAGGCTCTTCGTCCGACGACGACGATGACGCTGAAGAGGACGACGACGAATCGGAAGACGAACGCGAGACGCGCCGGAAGGTCGAGTCGCGCGAGGAAATGCTCCAGCGCATGCGTGAGGACGGCTCGTTGAAGGTGGCATCGCACTTGCACATGGACGATCTTTCGTCGGACGACGAGGTACTTGCAACCTTCGTAGCAAGAAGGAGAAGCTCACGCAACGTCGTAGGAGGTGCACAACACGATCGGTAACGTGCCGCTCCGTTGGTACGAGGACTACGACCACATTGGTTACACGGTCGACGGCCAGAAGATCATCAAGCAGAACCAGGGCGACGGCATCGACAATGCGATTGCGGCCAAGGACGACCCCAACTACGCCCGCACCATCTATGACGCCTACAACGACCGCAAGGTTGTCATCTCGGACCGCGAGATGGAGATTATCCGCCGCATCCAAGCCGGTGCGTTCGCGCACCCCGAGTTCAACGAGCACCAGGACTACGTCGACTACTTTACGTCCGAGAAGATGATCCACTCGCTCGGCAACGACCAGGAGCCCAAGGCGCGCTTCCTCCCCTCCAAGTGGGAAAAGATGAAGGTCGTCAAGATCATGAAGGGTATCAAGGAAGGCCGCATCAAGCTCGACCAGACGCCCGAGAAGAAGCCCGAGGCGTACGAAATGTGGTTCGAGAACGATGAGGTGCCGGTGACCAAGGGCCCTGCGCACGTCCAGGCCCCCAAGATGGTGCTGCCCGGCCACGCCGAGTCGTACAACCCGCCCGAGGAGTACCTCTTTACGGAAGAGGAGAAGCGTGCGTGGCTCGAGATGGACCCGTCCGACCGCCAGCTCAACTTTATCCCGCAAAAGTTCAACAGTCTCCGCGAGGTCAGCGGCTACTCCAACTTTGTCCGCGAGCGCTTTGAGCGCTGCCTCGACTTGTACCTGTGCCCGCGCGTCAACAAGCGCCGGCTCAACATCGACCCGGAGTCGCTCGTGCCGCAGCTGCCCAAGCCCCGCGATCTCCGTCCGTTCCCCAACACGCTCGCGCTTGCTTTCAACGGCCACACGGGCCGCATTCGCTCGATCTCGATGGACCCTGTGGGCCAGTACCTCGTGTCCGGCTCGGAAGACCACACGGTGCGTCTTTGGGAAGTCGAGACCGGTCGGTGCCTCCACACGTGGCGCATTGGCGCCGTCGTCCACAAGGTCGAGTGGTGCCCCAACAAGGACCACCACGTGGTGGCGGTCGTCGCGGCCAAGAAGATGCTTTTGATTGCGACGGGCACGGGCAACGGCGACGAGACCGACATCACGAACGCGCTCTTTGGCGACATGGAGGGCACGAAGGCGTTCGAGGCGGCCGACAACGACGACGAGAACACGACGGTCGTCGACACCACCGAAGAAGACATTGACGCGGCGGCCCGCAAGGCGCGCATGCCGGTCAAGTGGACCTTCCACCCGAGCAGCGCGCGCCACGGCCGCGGTGTCCGCGTCGTCCTGCACCACGGCGGTCTCGTCACCGACGTGGCGTGGCACTACAAGGGCGACTACCTCTCGACGGTCGTGCCGTCGGCGGATTCGTCCTCTGTCCTCATCCACCAGATCTCGAAGCGGTCGTCGCAGAACCCGTTCACGAAGAAGCTCGGGTCGATCCAAACCGTGGCCTTCCACCCGTCCAAGCCTTTCTTCTTCCTCGCGACGCAGACCCACGTCCGCGTGTACAACCTCGTGCAGCAGGCGATGGTCAAGAAGCTCTCGAGCGGTGTCAAGTGGATCTCGTCGCTGCATGTGCACCCGACGGGCGACCACGTGCTCGTGGGCAGTTACGATCGCCGCCTCTGCTGGTTCGACTTGGACCTTTCGTCGACGCCGTACAAGACGCTCAAGTACCACGAGAAGGCGACGCGCGCCGTCGGCTTCCACAAGAAGTACCCGCTCATGGCGTCGGCCTCGGACGACGGCACGATCCACATCTTCCACGCGATGGTCTACTCGGACCTGATCAAGAACCCGCTCATCGTGCCGCTCAAGATCTTGCGCGGCCACGAGGTCACGGGCGGCCTCGGCGTCATGACGCTCGCCTTCCACCCGACGCTGCCCTGGATCGCCAGCGGCGGCGCCGACAACACGATCCGCCTCTACCAAAACATCCACTAAGGTCGAGGGCTTGGGCGACGGCACTAGAAGCTACAAATATATATTTCTCTCCTTCTCCGTCGCTTGCATCGAGTCGACTCGGGTGGACGCTGTATGCGATCGGTCGCGTCGTCGCGCGGTTGTCACTCGAGTAGCTTGGCATCTGATACCGTGTCTGATAACGCGGCCGCGAGTGGGTGTGTTCGGCGTCGTTCGCCGCCCGGTCGGCGGCAGCTCGAGGTGGACGGCGTGGGCAGAGCAACAATTTCAGCAGCGGAGAGCTGTGGCGGAGTTACAGTATCATCGTAAAGGTCATGGCGTGCGTCTGGCGTGTAACGAAACTGGCAGTAGCTCGGGTGTTGAACCCGTGGTGTTGAACGCAGCTTCCAGAGCACGTTGACGAGGGCGCTCTGTGCTGCAATGTCGGGCATGCACAACGTTGCAGTTGACGAGTCGGGCTTCCTTGATGGCTGGTATCGTTGGGTGACGAGAGGTCGCATTGGCCCAAGCTGGTCATACGTGGCCTTTCTGTCGTCGTGGCGCTTCGGGCGTGCGGTGTCCGCAGCGCCACGCCGCGCCTCTAACGAGCAAGATGTGTGATGTTGCAGATGTGGCGGCGATCATCGAGGCAGCGCAGGTCATATCAAGTCAGAATCGTGGGGTATATTGATCGCATTAGACCAGATATCTGTGCACATAAAGGGACGCCACATAAAATACCGTGCGCTTACTTGCGCTTGAGGCCTGGGAGGCGGAACCAGCGCTTGTTGGGCTTTTTGTTTTCCTGGCCCACGTCGTCGTCGTCGTTGTTGGACTCGCGCTTGACCTTCTTGTCAAAGACTTCGGCGCCAAAGAGCGCACCGCCGGTCGGGTCACCGTTGCCGTCGAGGAGGCTCGAGCCGTCGACCTTGCCCTTGCGGTCCAGCGCCGTGTCGCTGCCCGCGTTGCTCGTCGACTTCTTCCGGCCAAACCCCACCATAATGATACCTGCTCGCAAGTTGGCAAATGACGCGGCTGAGAGTGGGTAATCAGACACGGCGCCATTTGATTGGTCAAAAATGTATGCGCTGCCACACACGGGTCTCTTTTATTGCGACGCGCGTCGCTATTTTTTTTGTTTTTATGAAAAAAGGTATGGATCCTTGGACTTGGCATTGATTTGGACAATTTAATGACAAAAATAAAAGCGAACCCATGCCCAGTCTCGGGAACCGAAAGCCAGCGCGGAAAGAGAACGGGCAGGCGGAGCGTCGCATCTCTGCCCCCGCAACGTCCGCAGACAATCCAAGGCCGGAGGAAGATGGATGCATGGCTGGAGGAAGAGGTATGGCTGGAGGCGGAGGCTTGGCTGGAGGAAGATGGCTGGATGGCTGGAGGAAGTGGTGTGGCTGGAGGCCGAGGCAGGAGAAGGCTCTGCTGATCGGCGATCCCAGGCAAAGGCGTGAAGCACGATGATCGCAATTCTCCAGTGTTACGTCGCTGCTGGCTGCTGTTGGAGCATGGGACGTACAGTTTCGAATGCGCGCGCGTCGGGCTCGAGGCGCGCGATGACCGTGACCAATTGGATCGATGCGCCGGCGACGTCATTGACAGCAGCGAGACCGTCCGCGCAGAGGTGCACGTGTGTCAATGACGGCTGCATAGCTCAAGCCACCATCGCGACAGACGCAGGACAGCTCTACAGGATACGTTGTTCCGTCGTCTCTGGCCACAGAGATGCACTAGTGCGTGCGCAGTAGGACGCTCTTCTGCATTGCGATATCTCCGGCGGTTTTCAGACGGGAACCGCCGCCCTAAATTTGCAGCAACGCTTCCCAGTCGGGAACCGTCACCATGGCGACTGCCGAGAGCACGCTGGAGCTTGTGGCGTCTGAAGTTGTCGCCCAAGTCCTCGCCGAGGTTGTCGCTGACGTGATCGCCAACGACGATCTCGCGCTACCCACGTCGCCGTCCGAGGCGCTGCGCATCGACGTGCCGCTGGATGACGAGACAAGTGCCGAGAAGGTGCCGCCCGATGCGGTCGCGCTAAAGATTGATCCGTCGGTCGCGGACGGGTTTGCGCCCAACCTCGGGTCTCCGACGGGCGACCCGCAGCTGGGCGGGTACCCACCCGACTGCGGCACCAAGCACTACAAGTACCTTTCGTTCGCAAAGTGCCGGCGCGACCGCGGCCTCACGCACCCCATGTGCTACTCGTCGACACTGGTCGACAAGATGAACCACCCGGTGCCGGTGACGTACCCGGTCTGCGGCACGGACTTTGGCGCGCACTCGTTCCACAAGCTCCCGACCGACTCGATGGTGCTGAGCAAGTATGGCCTCGGCATTGCTCTCTACTTCAAGTTCCTCGTACGCATTACGTTTGCATGCTACGTGGCATTGACTTCGATGTCGATAGAAAGTCATGGCCTGGCTCTTCCTCGTCATGTTCATTCTGAGCGTGCCGGCGATGGCCATCTTTGTCATCGGCGGCAGCAGCAACATGGACGCCGTCACGCTCAAGATCCAGAAAAACCCGATCTCGGTCCTCGGCATGACGAGCATGGGCAACCTCGGCCAGCAAACCACCACGTGCGGCCACGCCAAGGTCGGCGATGCCCTCACGCTCACGTGCGACTACGGCGAAATTGGCAGCCTCGTCGTACGATTTGCGTTCGCAAGTAAAATATCAACTTGATCTTCTAGGCGTCGTACTCGAGCTACGACGACCAAGGCACTTGCGCGTGTCCTTCCCGGTATGCGCCCAACGACCAAGGCGCGTGCCAGGCGAGCCCCGTGGACGTGAGTGGCGTCGCGACCTGCTTGGCGTCGGGCCACGGCTGCTACGCGGGCAACTACCCGTCCGTCAACAGTCCTTGCTGCGCGTTTGAGAAGAATGCGGATGGCAGCGCGAACTTCTCGGCGCTGCAAGTGCAAACGGTGGCTGGCTGCAGCGGCCCCTCGGCGCAGTCGATCGTCCAAGGCCTCTGCCTCGGCCAAACCTCGTGCACGATCAACGTCACCGAGTCGAGCGACTATCTCTGGAAGGCCGACAGTTCGTGGAACACGACGTGTCCGCCCGGTGGCAACTCGAGCGTCTTTTGCAGCGCGGGACTTTTGGCGGGTGGCGACTTTTCGACCTGCCCGTCGCCGTCGACGCGCGGGCTCCTCGTCGTCGCGCAGTGCTTTACGACCCAAATTGACATTTCCAACTCATGGGCGTTTCGCATCATGGGCTGGGACGCCATCACGGTACCCGAAGAAATCACTTGTGCAGATCGAACCGGCGCCTTTACGTAGCGCCCCCTGTTTCTCAAGATGGCTGTCGGCCTCGATGTCATCGCGTGCGCCGTCTTCCTCCTCATGGTGGTCTGGATGAAGCGACAAGAGGCAAATGCGATGGCACGCATCGAGCACGAGCGCACAACGGTGCAGAATTACACGGTGCAACTGCTGCACTTGCCAAAGCACACGGATGTCCTCAAGCTCGGGGTCGACGTGCGTCCGCTTCCTATCTGACATCGTTTCCTTATGGTTGAAATAGCTGGCGACGCACCTCGAGACGGTCCTCACTGCCAAGGAGCCCGTGTACAACCCGATCCCAGTCAAGGTCGCCGACGTGCACTTTGGCATGACGAACGCCGTCCAAATCGACGTCATGCGCAAGCGAGGGACGGTGGCAGCGCAGCTCTTTCTCGAGAACCAGCGCATCGCCAAGTTCAAAGCGCTCCAGGAGAAGCTCAAGCCGCACATCTTTGAGAAGCGGCTCGGGAAGCTCCTAAAAGCGTCACGCGCCTTGGACGAGAAGCTGCAAAAGCATGACAAGTGGCTCGACGAGTGGGAGGCGGCGCAAAAAGGCAAAGGGCTCGTCGCGGTCACGGCCTACATAACGTTCGAGGACGAAGAGGGCTACCTCCGCTGTCTGCGCGAGTACCCGAGTCTCGGCGTTTTGCACCGCCTCTTCCAGCCGTACCACAAACGCTTCATGAAGAAGCGCATGCGCATCGAGCCCGCACCAGACCCGACCGACATCATCTGGGAGAACCTCGACTACTCGTGGGCGGCGCGCATGTTGCGCGTGGTCTGCGTCAACATTGTGGCGCTCGCACTCTTGCTGCTGAGTTTTCTCATCATTTACCTCGCAAAGACCAAGAAGAACGAGCTCACGGCCAAGTTTGCGACGCCACTTGCCTGCCCCGTTAACGTGACGCAGTGGGACGTCATCCAGGAGCAAACCGCGTCGTCGTCGCCCGCAATGGCCATGGTCATGTGCTACTGCAAGGCCGCTCTTCTCGCCACCGCGTCGTTACCAGCAACCATGGACTTGGAGTTTTACAACCCCACGACCCAGACGTCGGCCAAGTACTGCAAGACGTGGGGCAGCGAGTACTTGACGATCCAAGCGCTCATGGTCGGGTCCGTCGTCGTTGTCGTCCTTGTCAACGCCCTCCTGACACCTGTCCTGCAGTACCTGGTGCGGCTCCAAAAAAGCCACACGCTCTCGGCCGTCATTGTCTCGACCGTACGCAAAATTTTCCTCGCCCAGTTCTTCAACACGACGCTCATCGTGCTCTTCCTCAACGCCAACCTCAGCGGGGTAGGCGATACTGGACAGGATTGGTCCATTATAGGGTCGACCGTAGATCTCGACCACGTCGGATACCGGGTTTCACTTTGTCGGCTTGTCGCTTTTGAACGGCAAGTACGCCGACTTTAGCGTCGACTGGTACAACGACGTGGGCGTCGCGCTGCTGCTGACGATGCTCATCAACGCCATCTCGCCGCAGATTGGCGTCTTTGTCACGTACCTTCTTCGGCAGGTTGCGCAGTGGCGGGACCGCAGCTTTACGTTCGACTTTACGCGAACTCGGCAAGAGACCCAGCGCGACCTCGAGGCGCTCTACCGCGGCCCCGAGTTTGACCTCGCGACGCGCTACTCTCAGATCATCAACACGATCTTCATTACGCTCCTCGTACGTCTATCGATACGTGGCTTGGATGATGCGATTTGCTAGTTTTCGTCGGGCATGCCGCTCATGCTGCTCATCGGGCTCTTCAGCATCATTATCACGTACTGGACCGATAAGTTTAGTACGAAGATCAAGCCTTGTGGGTTGGGTACTTACGCTTACGATATAGCATTCCTGCGCGTCGTGCGGTCGCCGCCCCAGTACGACGGCCGGATCGCGACCGTCGTGGGCTCAATGCTACCGTACGCGATCTTGCTGCATATGCTCTTTGGCATCTGGATGTACTCGAACACCAACATCTTTCAATCGCCGGCCACCGAGCTCACGCTTCAAGGCTACAATCTCAACGCCGTGCTTGACAAGGGCGGCAAGGTCGTGACCCGTGCGACCGCGATGCCTGCGGCGGTGCTCTTTGCTGCGGCCGTGGCCGGCGTGGCTGTTGTGGTTGTACGACTCGTTGTGTTTCATTACCTCGGCGGTGCGCTACGCTCGGTGTTCCCCATGTGCACGCGCATGCTCAAGGAGACCAAGCCACCGCGGCACCTCCCAAACTACTTCGACGCGCTTCCGCTGCACGTCCTCTCGGACGGCTTGGGGTCAGCGAGCCTCAAGCCGTCGCTCAAGGCGGCGTACGCGGCTGCGATATCCCGCCGCAGCACCGAGGCGAAGGCGTCGTTGCAGCTCAGCGGGTGCCACTCGTACGACATCTTGCACAACCCGAGCTACAAGGAGGCATTCGGAGGCGGCGCGTTTGCGCGGCAGCTGCTCAAGTAGTCTACACGTGTACTATATTCTTGTCTGTAAGCTTCTTCAATCTGCGTAATATTGTCTTTACGACCACCTTGTCACGATCGATCGGAAGAACGCAACCGCGTGTTGCGATTCGCCTCGCCTGACGACGACACTCGGAGGCTCCTACAAAAGGTGCACGAACGGTGTGCTGGAAGTGTGATACAAGGACACGACTCGGATGACGGACTGTGGGTTTATGCCGGTGAAGCGATCCATATTTCGACTTGGTCAAAGCCAGGACTGGGCATGCTGTCAAGGATCATAGGCGCCTTCGGACGCTTCCTTGAGAGCCAGAAGCGAGCACGAGTAGCGACACTCGTGCCCTGCAGTTGGACGCTGTTAAAAGTATGATGTAGTTTTATAGTATATATCCTAGCCCTAACGCATTTGTATAGAATACATCCTCGTCAACTACTTGTCCGTGTGGGCCTCGGCCTGGGAGAACGCAAAGCCCGACTGGTTGCGTGGGTGCGATGGCGGCACACTGCGGAACGTCGGCGGAGGCGGGGCGTGGAGCTCGATCGGGATCTTGTTCCACTCGCGCATGAGGTGGGATGGCTCCGGGTAGAAGAGAACGCGGCCGGCCTTGAGGATGTAATTGGGCAGAACCGATGCGACGCAGCACATGAGCATGCCGAGCCAGTACCACGGCTGCTGCGCGAGCATCGAGAACGCGTAGTAGTACTCGTCGCTCTCGAGCACGTCCCACTCGGTCCAGCCGTAAATGGACGTGAAGAACCAAATGAAAAGGAAGTAAAAGAGCGTCGTGCCGACGACAGCGCCCGCGTTGGCGACGGTCCAGTTGCTTGTGAGGAGAGCGACTTGGAACATGGACGCCATGATGAGGTACGAGTAACCGGCAATGCCGTCGGCTGCAAGGCCCAGCGGCTCCGTGTGGTAGAGGAGGATGCCGGGCTCTTCGCCGTCAAAGTAGTTTTTCGAGTTGCCGTCGGCGCAGAAAGGCGTGACGTATACGAGGTACGCGTGCCAGAGCCCGAGGCAGCACCACCCAAAGAAGCTCGTCCAGTTGAACGAGCGCGACTCGAGGCCGTTCCGGTACAAGGTCGGGTACTGCATGAGCACGGTGGGTGGCACGTCTTGGTTGTACATGGCAATAAACACGATCGGGATCGTCGTGAAGAGCGCGTTGTACATCGTAAAGCAAATGCCCGGGTACGTGAGGATGCCAGAGTACTTGGCCGCCGGCGCGTAGAAAAAGTTGCTCAGCGACAGCGCAATGTTCTTCATGAACGAAAACAAGATGAGCTTGGCGATGCGCTTGTAGCTGTAGTTGCCGTGCACGAGGAGGAGCCGCTTGAGGAACCGGAACTGCGCGATCGAGTAGTCGCTCGAGAGGACGGCTTGCCGCCCTTCTTTGCCGCCAATGCCAACACCGACGCTCGCCGCTTGGATCATCGGCACGTCGTTGGCACCGTCGCCAATCGCAAGTGTGATGTTGCCCGGCGTCCAGAGCAGCGTTGGCTCGGTCACAAGGCGAACGACCGCGGCCTTTTGCGCCGGGGAGCACCGGCAGCAGATGACCGACTTGCACTGCTGCGCGACGGCCAAGAAGAGGTACTTGATGTCGTTCTCGAGCACCATCGTGAGCGTGCGACCGTCAATCACCATGGCGTACTCGACGTTTTCGTCCTCCTCGCCATCCATGCACTCGAGGTCGACAGCCTCAAGGTAAGGATCGTCGTCAATGTCATCATCGTCGTCGTCGTGCATCTCACTGGCGTTGGGGTTGGAGGTCAGCGACTGCCGCGGCGGGTACACTTCCCAGTTGAGCGCCGTGCCGTTCTCGGCCGAGAGGCGCAGGCGCGTCTTCCGGCGCTTCATCGTGCGGCGCTGCTCGTACTTGCCCGAGATGGCAGCCATGAGGTTGTTGTAAGCCGTCGACGTCACGCGGCGTAGCGTCTGGAGAAGCACGTGCGTCATCGAGTCGTCCTTCTTCGTGTCCCAGCGCTGGTCCTCGACCAAGTGCACGTAGAGTTCTTCGAGCGTCGCCGTCAGGGACGCCTTGTCCTTCTTGTCGAGAACAATGACGTCCATGGTCTCGTCAATCACTTGCGACGACATGCCGATACTGATGGCCGTCTCCTTCTTGTCGCCAGTGAGTACCCAAAAGTTGATGCCGGCCTTCCGGAGCGCGTAGATGCAGTCTTCGGCGCCTTCCTGCAGCAAATCTTCGATGGCCGTCGCGCCGAGCAGCCGCAGCTCACGCTCGATCGCATCGGCGGCCGCGTCCAGCGCCGCTTTGTCCATCACCGCCTCGGCCGCCTCGTACGTCGTGCGCCACGCCGCGTACGTCTCGGGATCGAGAATGCGCACCGCCGTCGTGAGCGTCCGCAGACCTTGCGCGGCGTACTCCTGGAGATGGCCCCGCGTCACAACAACGGCCCCTTGGGCATGGTCGTCGGCGAGGCGCTCGAGAATCACGTCGTCGGCGCCCTTGCAGTAGAGGAAGATCGTGTCGTCGTCCTTCTTCTTGCAGAGCACCGACATGCGCTTCCGGTCCGAAGTAAACTCGAGCACGTGAAGGATCTCGTACGAGGTCTCGGAGCCGCGAATGTTGACGTAGCACGTGGCGCCAGACCGGCGCTCGAGCGAGAAGCCAAGGTCGCGCGCCGCCGCACAGAGCGCTTGTTCGTCTGGCGACGACGACTGGTACAGAAGACTGCCGTCGTCCTGCACCTGTGGGATCGCCGAGTTGCAGAGCATGAGCAGCACCAGGAATTCGTGAATGTCGGCCTTTGTCGCGTGGTTGGCATCGTAGCGGGCGAGAAGCCGCGGGTCGTTGAAGCGGGTGCCGGGCCGCGGCGGCTTGGCAATCGTCTCGTCCTCGGGCGCGTCGTTGTACTTGAGGCCAGCGATCGAGCACTTGGCAAACACCATTTCGTTGCGCGTAAGCGTACCCGTCTTGTCGGAGAAGATGTACTTGACCTGCCCGAGGTCTTCGTTGATGTTGCTGTTGCGCACTTGCGCCGGCGTGTCGGTCGGCGCGTCGTACATGGTCAAGTCGTTCTCGATGTAGCGCGCGTGCACGAAGCGGACGCCTTCCATGGTCACGTACATGGAGAGCGAGATGAGGTTGTTGAAGAGAATGATGTAGCTGAGGAAGATGTAGTCGTTGGTCGCAGGTCCGAGATAGTAGGGCGCGACGACGGCCGCCACGTTGTTGGCCTTGCTCTTCTTTGAATCGACCTCGAAGCTCCAGTTGTTGTTGCCGAGCGTGCACGCAATCGAGATCGAAAAGAGCAGCACGAGGATCACGATGAACATCGAGTCGAGCGTCTTCTCGACGAGCGTGCGCTTGATCTTGGCGTCCGGATTCGCTGCGTTGAGCGCGATCTTGGTCTCGGCGCCCGTGTAGACGACGAGGCCGACGGTCCATCCGGCCGTGCACATCTCGCTGCCGCGCAAGAGGAGGTTGTCCATGGACGCCGGGAGGTTCACGTCGCCGAGCGTCACGTACGCCGACCACTCGAACATATTTTTGCTCGGAAGGTCGCAGCTTACAGTGATGGGCATCCCTGGGATCGACTCGAGGTCGAGGTCCTGCGACACGGTCTGGCGGATCTTGAGGTTCGTCTCGCCGTCCAAGTTGGCCGTCTGCACATAACAGAGGCCGTTGTCCGACCCCGTCGCGAGCAAGAGGCAGTCGGACGGGATGTCGTCGCCCTCGTACAGCACGAGGAGGTCGCCGACCTGGACTTGCTGCCACTGGAGCAGCTCGATCTGGCCGTTGCTGCGCAAGACGTGCGTCGGCTTGGAGTTGACGTCGCGGTCGGCCTTTTGCCGCCGGAGGTCTTCGGACACGTCCTTGATCGCTGCGGTCGCAAAGACGATGAGCAGCGGAAGCAAGCTTGACGCTGGGTCGACAGGAGAGAAGCTGAAGAAGCAGAGGGCGACGACGATGCAGGTGTAGACGTTGGCGAGGCGGCTGAACTGCATGTGGAAGAAGACGAAGGCAAAGTTCCAGAGCGTGTACTTGCTCGTGTGGATCGAGTTGGGGCACGTAAAGCCCTTGGCGTCGCCTGCCGTCACCTTGCGCTTCTCGTCCAGCACCACGTCACCTGGCCGTGATAATGAGTTTATGCAATGCGAGACAACACGAGTGTACCTGCGGACGTGGGCAGCATCGAGCGAGATGCCGGGCGCGTCGTGGGCGGCGGCTCGGCGGCAACGAACGCCGCTTGCTCGCACTCGCGCTTGTGCTGGACCGACTTGACGATGCGCCGGAGCTTCCAGCCGTACAAGAGCCCGAAAAAGTTGAAGATGAAGAGCGAGACCGAGATGATGATCTGGATCCACAGCGCCGTCGAGCGCGAGACCGAAATGGCCGCCGAGTTCTTGTCCCTCGGTGCAAAGGACCCGTTCCATCTCATGGCATACCAGAGCACGTCGACGCCGAGGCTGAGCTGCATGCCAATCTTGTAGAAGAGGAGGTACTTGGCCACCAAGTGGTTGGAGCCGTGCCATCCAAAGACAAGCGTTATGTACTACGCAGGTGTCGTCACGAGGTATGAAGAAAACAGCCGCGACGTACGAGGAGGAAGACGGGGATCGTCGAGAGGTACGAGTACCCGAGCAGGATCGGGATGAAGCGTACAGTGCAGAAGATGGACTGCCAGATGATAATAAACTTGATGTACCGACGCACTTGGTAGAGCGAGACGTCCTTGAGGAAGCAGAAGACGCCTTCGATGAGTCGCCAGATGCGGATCTCGTAGACGTCTTTCGGCGGCGGCCCTGAGATGGTCTCGTCGACGCGGATGCTACAGAGCAGGCGTGAGCGCACGCATGCAGCCAGCCATCGTACCGGTCGCCGCGGAAGCGCAGCGCAATGTCTTCGCCGCGGTCCATCGAGCGCAGGTGGAACTCGACGTGGCGCTCGTCTTGGTGGATGTCGATGCCCACGGCGCCGGGCGACTGCAGCGTGCCATACACAGCCGAGCTCGTCGGCTTGGGCGACGTCGACTCCTCGGTCATCGGCGGCTTGAAGCGGACTGCGGAATGCGTCAACTTATGTAAACCAACGAGAGCGCCTATTACTCACAGCAATTGCCACAGACAAGTACAGTCATGCCGTGGCGCAGAAAAACAAACAGGCTATTTTTCGTTTTTATTCGGAATTTTTTGCGATTTATTTGGCCTGGCCTGCATGCGCAAGGGAATTACCAATTTTATTCCCTTGATCAAGGCACCGGGTACTGGCACAGTAGTGCAATTGCGCGGAAACAAGAAGTGGCAACGATGGTGCTACCCCTGGTTAAGGACGTGCTTTCGATGCCTCTTTCCCCAACTTCACCGTCGTCTGGAGCGCGGACAAGCTTTGAGAACGTTGTTGTGACGTTAGCCACCGACGATAACTCGTCGTCCTAAGCTTCGTTTCGATCTGCCTCGGTACGATTGCACCGAAGCAATCATCCTGGTGGTGATTCCTGAGCGGGGCAAGACGCAATCGAGGATTGCGTTCGAGCGCCAATGCCGTGGGGTGGCAATGTACTTGACTAGTGCAATTGGTTGCAAAGAGAGTGAGTGTCGTGATGGAGAGTCGCGTCAGCGTTTCGTCGCCGCGCCCCGCTGCTGCGCCAGGGTCCGTCGTCGCCAACGGCAGACAACTCGACATCGAACAATAGGAGCTCTAACTCCTCTAGTCCTTTTACTAATATAATCCCACCAAGGCGATGACGACGATGGCCCTTCGGCGTCGTCGCCGGTCGACGAACGAAAAGATGGAGTGGGACGCGCTCTATGACGCAAGGACCGTATGAGGTAATCATCGAGCAAGCTCGGGTTGCGATGATGGAGGCGCCGGTTTCCATGATCCATGATCGGTTGATGCATCATCTCTACTAACTAGTTAACAACTCTTAGCTCGTGCTGCCAAAGTACGAAAAGACGCTGCCGAGGACGGTCGGCGCTTCGTGCTTGTCTTGGATCTGCCGCAGCTCGGCAGGGCTAAAGTGCAGAATGGTCGAGAGCACAGGAATGAGCTGCTCCTTCTCCTTGGCGCTCTCCGCGACAAAGTACTTGAGGAGGACGTTCTTGAGGTACTACATCACGACGTGAGCCAAACACGCAACACAAAGTTCCTACTTCGACGTTGGTCGTCGGGCTTTGGCCGCCCCCGAGTTCTTCGTGGCGCGCAAGCTGGAGCTGGCTCGACTCCAACTGGCGGCGCGTGTCTTCATACTAATAGAGGGACTTTGTAAGCGCAATGCTTGCGGTGGCTCGGCGCGGACCTTCTTTTGGACGCGACCGGCGCGATCTTCGAGTTCGACGATCTGACGACGCATGCGAGCCGCTTCCTCTTCGTGCGAGGCCTGGATCTAATGCAGTGACGTTGTGGGAGGATGTCGCAGAATAGAGAGACAGCGCACCCGAGCGAGGTTGAGGATCTCGGCGTCGACCGACGGGACGGCCGGCGGCGGTGCCTCGGACAAGCTCTGCATGAGCTGGTGGATCTCCGTGTCTTTGACCTTGAGCATCTCTCGGGCCACGTCCGTCTTGGCCTGAATCTCCTTCTTGAGACCCTCGATCGACGACTCTAACATCGCGTTTGCGTCGCGCACGACCCGCGTCTTGGCTTCCTGCTCGTCCAAAGCGGCTTGCCACTGCGCCTGTTGCGACTCGTGATTCGACGCGCGGGCGTCGGCTTGGGCACTCAGCGCCGCAATCTGGTCACGGAGGTCGCGTGTACTCGCCTCCATTTGCTGAAGGAGCTCACTGCGCGAGGCGTCCGCAGCCGCGAGCTGCCGGCCAAAGTCGTCTCTTTCGTTGGCGTTCAACGCACGAAGGTCCGTGATCGTCGCGTGCAGCGCCGTGATTTCGTCTTGGAGCGACTGGCGCTCGTCGTTGAACGTTTTGCTGTCGACGGTCGCCTTCTTGAGCGCGACGTGGGCGCGCCGCTTGTAGCCTTCGAGCGCCTCCCGAGCTTCGCTTGCCGCCTCGATCTCGACGTCAAGCTGGGCCTGCACTTGCTTGGCGCGAGCTTCCGACGACGCCAGCGCAGCCTCGGACATCAAAGCGGCGCTCTCGAGAGACGTCACGCGCACCGTCAGCGCCGCCCGTTCCGTCGCGTCGCTGTTGGCCGTCGTTTCCAGCTCTTCGCAACGTACACGCAGGACGACCATCTGCGACGATAGCTCGTTCAAAGCACGCGTCTTCTCGGCCACCAGCGCTTCGAGACGCGTCAGCTCCTCCGTCGCCCCTGTCGATGCCTCGGACGCAATCGCGAGGCTGCGCTCGTGGGCAGCGGCCATGTTGGAGGACGCAGCTTCGAGCGCTGCAATCTGCGCACGAAGCTTCTCGATCTCCGCCGACTGCGCTTGCTCTTTCTCGACTAGCGCCTCCACTTGCGCTGCCTGCACACGCTCTTGTTGGAGCAGCGCCTCGTGTTGGTCGGCCAGCAGAGCGTGACGGTTGGTGATCGCGTCGCGCTCGGTCGTAAGGCTTGCGAGCGCGTCTGACGCTGTCGTGGCCTCGACAACCTTGTCGTCGTAGCGACCCTTGAGGTCCAGGGCTTGCTCTTGGAGCTTCTTGTACCGTCGCAGAACCTCCTCGAGCTTTTCTTTCAGAGATTGCGCGAGTGTGTCCTTGGCGTCTTCGGCTGCGGCCAGCGCCCGCTCCATGCCCTCGGCCTTGCTCTCGGCTTGCGCAACAGCAGCCTCGCACTGCGCCTTGGACGCCGCGACTGCGTCTTCGAGGGTGCGCAAGGCCGCCTCCTTGTCGTGTACGTTTACCTCGAGCGTCTCGATACGGGCATTGAGCGCTTCCTTCTCGGCCGTCCATGCCGCGCTGGCTTCTGCCGCCGAACGCTCGCGCAGCGCAATGCCGTCCGTTAACGCTGCGACTGTCGTGTTGGTCAACGATAGAGTGTCCTGAAGCGCCGTATGGTCCGCCGAGAGCGCATCAAAGGAAGCTTGCAGCGTCGCGAGGGCGTCCGACGCGGTCGCAAGGTCCGATGCGTGGCCTTCGACCGTTGACAGTTGCTGCACGAGCGCTGTCTTTTCGCTCTCTAGGGCTTCGTGTGCCTTCTGGAGCGTCCGCAGCGCGTCTTCGAGGTCGGACTTTTGCCACTCGAGCGACTCGTTGGTGCTTTGCGTCGTCGCCATGTCGGCTTCCAGCGCTGCGCACGCAGTCTCCATACGCTCCGCGTCCTGCGTGGCGGTCTCGAGCTCCGACTGCAACGCTTCCTTGGCGGCCATCGCTGCCTGCAGCCCGGCGTTCGCTTTGTCAACGCGCCCTTCGAGATCTTGAATCGAGGCGGCTAGGACCGCCTTCTCGCTTTCCAGTGCACTTACAGCGTCGCGCAGCTCGTTCGTGCTGACCGCGTGGTCACTGAACTTGAGATCGTGCGCTTCATGGAGCGCAAGGAGCTTTGCCTCGGCCTCGCGCGCCGATGCAGTCACTTGGGCAAGCTCATCGTTCGCGCGCGCGAGTTGAGTCGACAGGTCCGAGCATTCGCTCGTTGCTGCTTGAAGAGAGTGCTGCGTCTCGTCGAGCGATGCAGCGAAAGTCTCGCTCGTTGTCTTGGCAGTCGTGAGTGCAGCCGTTGTTTCATCAAGTGCGCTGTGCGCTGCCTCGAGTTCGGCGTTGGCAGCGTCAAGGTCGGCCTTGGCTTGCACCACTTGGGCTTTCAGCATGCCAATCTTGTGCGTAAGCTCCTCCTTGACGGCTTCGGTCGCGTAGCACTGAGCTGCGAGCGCTTCTTCGTGTCGAGCGGTGGCAACTTCCAGGGAAGCCTCGGCGGCTTGGGCGCGCTCGAGCGCGTCGCCTTGGCGCGTCGCCACTTCTGCCTTTGCGTCTTCGACCTTCTGCTGCAGAGTGTCGACTTGGTCGGTCGTCGCAGCCAGCTGCTTCGTCAGATCGTTGTTCGTCGAGAGTGCGGATGCCAGCTTTTCCTGTACGGCCTCAAGCGACGCCGTTTTTTTCGCCACGAGGTCTTGTGCCTGCTGCACTCCGTCTCGGAGAGCCGCGCAGGAGGCCGTCATCGCATCGAGCTCTGCGGTCGTCGCCTCGAACGACATGCGGCTCGACGCGAGCTCCGCCAGCGCATCTTGTAGCTCTGCGTTTGTCTTGGCGAGTGTACCTTCCAGTGCCAAACAGGCGCCGGTCTTGGCGGCCACATCGGCCTCAAGGGCGGCGACGAGAGCGTCATCTTGTGCGACATGGAGCGCATCTTCTAGCGTCGCGCACGCTTCGGTCTTAGCGCTGACTTCGGCCTCGAGGGCGATTTGCCGAGCTTCGAGCTCGTTGCGGGCGGTGACTGCGTTGACGGCAGCGGCTGCAAGAGCCGTGTCGAGTTCCGAACGCGACGTCGCGAGACTTGCCTGGAGCGACGCGACCTCGGCTTCCAGCACGCGTACGGCCTTGGCATGCTCCGTGTCGGCAGCGTCCGCCGTCTGGCGTGCCGTGCGCAGCTGCTTCTTGGCGTCGACGAGATCGCCCACAAAGGACGAACACTTTTGCGTCATCGTCGCCACGTCGGCCTCGAGCACTTGAATTTTCTCATTGTGGGCCGCCTCGGCGGCGTGGGAAGCGTCGCGCAACGCGGTGCACTCGTCGCGAAGGGTATCGTTGTCGTGCTTGGCGTCTTCGACCTCGGTGCGTGCGCCCTCGAGATTGCTTTCCAGCGCCGCGATATGCGCGGCTTTCTCCCGGAGAAGGGCAGCAAGTTCGTTCTTGGCGCCATCGTCGTCGTCGGCCTTGGCCTGCAGCGCGTGCTCGTAGTCGGCCTCAAGCTTGGCAAGCGCGACCGCCGCGTCCTTGCGTTCCGCGCGCGCCGTTTCGTGTGCCGTCGTGAGCTCCTCGTCCAAGTGCGCTGCCTTGGTTTCAAGGCGACCGATCGCGCTCTGCTTGGCGCTGACCTCTGCTTCTAGGGCACTCTTTTCCTGCTTGAGCTGCGCCAACGTCGCTGCCATCTCGGTTTGCGCCACTTCGAGCGACGCGTTGATCGCGTCCAAGTCCGCGACCTTGGCCTCGAGGTCCTCGACAAGCGTCATTTTGGCCGCGAGATCTCGCTCGACGTCCGCGTGGGCCGCACGAAGAGTCGTTAGCGCCGCTTCGAGGCTTTCGTGCGCGGAAGCTGTGCGCAGAGCGTCTTGCAGTTGCATTTGCAGCCCCGCGATCTCTGTTGCCTTTGCTTCCAACGACACTTGGAAAGATTTGGCATCACGATGCGTGTCTTTCTCGAGCGTAACATACGCCTCGTGGAGCCGGCTGCACTCGGCCTCGAGGTGCATCTGGAGCGCTGCCGTCTTGGCGTGCGTTGCGTCCAGCTCTGAGTGGGTACTCAGCGCGGCCGCGAGCTCGGCTTGGAGCGACGCGAGGCGATCGTCGTACATGGCTGTCGTGTTTGCCAGCGACGCCGTCAGCGCCGCCTTCTCCTCCAGGAGCGCATTGCAGCTGGCTTGGAGCGTCGCACGCGCGGTGTCGTACTCGCCAACTTGCGCTTCGAGAGCCAAGATCCGCGCGTTGACGGCTTTGAGCTCATTCGTCGCCTGCACCAAGGCCTCCGATCTCTCAGCAAGTGCGACGGCCACGTCCTCGGCCGAGGTCAATTTGTCTTCGAGCTCATTCTTCTCAGCAAGCACTTGGTCGTGGGCAGCTTTGAGCGCCTCGTAGGACGCCACACCGTCCGACATGGCCGATGCGAGCTGGGCTTCGAGCGATGAGACACGGTCGGCGTGCGTCCGGAGCGCTGCCTCGAGCAATGCCTTGTCGGCTTCGATGCGTGCCTGCTCGGCGAGAAGGTCCTCTTGGCGCGCGCGGAGGTCGTCGAGGGCTGCGTCTCGGTCCGCCAGCTGGCTCTGAAGTGACGCGACGAGCTGTGTTGCCGCCATGAGGTCCGCTTCCAGCGTCGTCTTGGCGTCCCGGAGCGCGGACGACTCGTCGAGAAGGTCCTCGTGCGACGCCTGGAGCGACCGGAACTCGGTGTGGAGCTGCGACTGCGACGCCTCGTGCGTGGCCCTCGTCGCTTCAATGTCCTGGAGCTGCATCTGAAGTGCCTCAAACGTCATCTGCCGCACTTGCAGTGTTCCCTCGAGGGCGCGTTTCTCTTGCTGGAGTGCATCGTGGTCTGCTTCGAGCTGCTGGAGCGACGCGGCCAAGTCCTTCTACGAAAGGGTCACGTCGCGCGCGAGGATCGCCCAGCGTACCTCTATTTGGGCTAAGTTGTCACTGAGCTGCGACGATGCATCGGGGATGCGGGCCTCAAGCGACGTGACTGTCGCGTCCAGGGCCGCCTTGGCCTCTACCCACGACTTCTGGCCCTCGGAGAGCGCCGTCTCAGCCGAATTCTTGGCGCCCAGAAGCGTCGCACACTCGGCTTCCAATGCCGCAATGCGCGCCTCTGCAGACTCGGCCCGGCGTTCCAGCGCAGCGTTTGTGTCGCGCAACGAAGTCAGCTCGTCATCGGACGCTGCATTCGCCGCCACTGTGTCGTCCAAGGCAGATTGGAGCGTCACAAGCTGCTGCAGCTTGTCCTCGAGAGCTGTCGCCAGCTCGTCGCGCACACTAGCATCGCGCTGGACCAACGCCGCGTCGGCTTCATGTTGCTGGACGGACGCGTCATGGGCCGCCTGCAACGCGGCAAAGTCTGCCTCGAGTTCTGTAACGCGCGCAGCCTTGTCTGCTAGCGTCGACGCAACCTCGTCCTTGAGCGACGCCTTCTCGACGTTAAGCTTGTCGACGGCGGCCTCGAGCTCTTGCTGCCGCTCGTGCATGGAGCGCTCGTTCGCATGCGCTTGCTCGAGCTCGTCTTGGAGAAGGTTGATCGTGTCCATCTTGCTCTTGACAGCGTCCATGAGCTGGTTCGTCACGGACATTTCGAGGTCGCGTAAGGCCACGCGATGCACCTCGTCCTTGGCGGCCAGCGCTTCTTCAAGTTCTGTAACGCGGGCGGCCGAGGCGTCGGCCGTTGCTTGCGTCTCCTGAACAAACTGCTGAAGCTTACGGTAGCGCTGGACCACCTCTTGGAGCTTCGTGACGACCTCCACCTTCTCAGCTTCCTTCTTCTTGACTTCGTCGTAGAGTGGGCTCGTGTCGGTTCCGTCGTTGCGCATCTTCTCGTGCGCGAGTTCGAGCTCGAGGGCTTGGACGCGGTCTGCGAGGGCCGATGCATCGCCATTGTCGGACTGTTGCTTCTGGAGTTCGCGGTACTTGGCGACGAGCGTCTTGAGCTTCCCGATCAAGTCGTCCTTCTCCTTTTCCAGCGTTTCCAAACGCGTCCGCAGCACACCGTCGCCCTGGCTCTTCTGAAGCTGCTTGTAGCGTGAAACGATCTCGTGCAGCTTTCCCATGAGCACTTGGTTCTCTTCCTTGGCCCTCATGACAGCGCAGCGCTCGGCCTCGAGCTGCGCCTCGAAGTCCGCCATGCTCCACGTGTGCTCCGAGCAGAATTGCTCGCCGCTCATTGGCCAAAAACAGCCCTCGATTACGCCAATCACGCGCCGCTGACTGCCGGAAATAGTGTAAGCAAACAAAAGATCCGTCGCCAGCTTCGCCAGGGCCAAACAAACTCACGCACACGCAGCAGCGACAACGGACGGTATGGGCAAATAGCCCAGTAAATACATGTAGAATGCGCTACCCTATTGCAGTAGACTGCTAGCAGAGGACTCTGGCTGTGTATGCACGAGGTCGTCTCAACGAAATTAGTATCCAACGCTGCAGTCAAGGTACGAGGTCGCAGCGACCAGCTTCATATTCGTCTAACAAGCCTGCGTTGATTCAGGCATGTTGCAGCAACGAGGCAAGCATGCTGCAGCGCCTTCGAGATGCCCGCATAACCCTTTCTGGGATGAAACAGTATATTCTGACTAACACTAAATATGTGTCGAGGCTCTGTCAGAGAAAGTACCTCGAATCAGTTGCAGTAGCACCTTGCACTCAGAATCACCTGTAGCTCAGCAGGGAATCTCCCTTGTTGCAACAAAGTGCGGACTGTAAAAGCGCAGAAACCCACCCATTTGAGCATGCTGGGTCTTTTTGACCGGAGGTAATACACATTCCAAGGAGAGCCAAGATCGCCGACAACCACGGACCATGGGCAACGACCAGTCGCAGGACCGAAGCTCGCGCCAGGCGTCGACACGTGGCAGCGCTCTGCGTATGGACCACTACCCAGGCGTACCCTTTGTCGTCTGGGACGGCGAGCACCATTTTGCCGAGCCTTCGAGCTACAAGTACAGCGGGACGGGCAGCCAGGTAGAGCGACCATCGACGGCCCATGCCTCATGTACTGCATAGGTGCTTGGCCAGCCCGTCTTTGTAAACCCGCCCAAGGCCGACACAGAGCTGCGCAACGTGGCTGAGCTCAGCGGCAACATTGCGGTCGTCGAGCGTGGTGGCCGCGTCCACTTTCCCGACATCATGCGGCGCCTCCTTAAAGCAGGCATCACGGGCTGCGTCTTCGTGGAGCGCGAAGAGTACAAGGGTCCGTCCATGCTCTTTGAGGGCTTCCACTCGTCTGGGCGGCAAACGGTCGACATACCGATCGTGCGCCTCTCCAAGTTCCATGCCGATCAGTTCCTGCGGAAGAAGCCTGCGCAGATTGCCTTCGCCTTCGTCTCGGGGTCTGCAGCGCTCGAGAAGCTTGTCGGTGACGACCTACCGTCGGCAGCGTCGACAGCCTGCCGTCTCGGCGAAGGGCTGATCTTGCGGTCGCTGCTCCAGACATGCAGCCCCCAGAGTATCGAGGTACATCGACAACTCTTGCGCTCGCTACTCCAAACGAGTTAGACTACGGCGTGGGCCAATGCGCTCTGTGACGCGGCTGAGAACGGCCACGTCGATTGCATCGAGGCGCTGCACGCGGTCGGTGTCTCTTTGGACGACCACAAGGTGCTCTGACGTCGTCTCTCCCGTGCGTCTTGTGAAGTGGTGAGCTGTAGCCCAACGGCACGACGCCGCTCATGGTGGCGTGCTCGGCTGGCAACGTGGAAGTGGCGCGGGCTCTCGTCACGTTTGGCGCCTCGATCGACGCCGAAGATGTGCGATGCCTTGTCCCATCTACCGCGCTGACGCGTCGTGGATAGGTCCACGACAACTCGGCGCTCATGATTGCGGCGCGGGACGGCGCCGAGGCGTGCGTGCGCTACTTGATTCGGAAGGGCGCGTGCATCAATCTGTCGCGGAACCGGGTGCGCAAGCAAAAGACGCGTCCGTCGGCGCTCATCGTCGATGTAGAAACGAGGCACGACGGCGCTGCACATGGCGGCGCGCAGCGGCAAAGACGACTGCCTCGTCGCTCTCATCGAAGCCCACGCCGACCTCGATATCCCCAGCGTACGATTTGTATTAAGATGGTGGCACGGGCGCGAGGATGTTGACTAGCCAAGCTCGACAACAGCGCTCATGGAAGCGGCGCGGGCAGGGCACTTGAGTATTGTCAAGACCCTCGCCGACGCCGGCGCGCAGCTCGACTGCAAAGACGTGAGGGTCTGTTGCGTGGCATGAGCTGACATGGAGTACTCTGTAGCGCGACGGAAAGAACGCCGAAGCCATCGCGACCGCCGCAGGCTTCCAAGAAATTGAAGATTTTCTGCGCCAGCGGGCCGAGAGCGTGCGTGTTGGCTATCAGTGGATCAATGCCCCACGCACGGTGGTAGGACTCGGTCAAGGACCAGCGCAAGCAGATCGAAGATGCAATCAACCAGCCCGAGTTTACGCTGCGCGCGCTGCTTGAGCTGGCTGACGAGGCGGGCATCGACGTCGACATCCTCAAGCGCGAAGTGCTGCGCAACCCCAAAATCATGCGCTGGCTCACAACGCCCAACGTTGTCTTCGACATCTTCAAACACCTGACCGCGCCGCCGTCCATGAACCTCGACCCGGTCTACGGCGCGTACAAGATGCAGCACTTTTGCTGCGAGATCGCCTTGTGGTACGACCGCAAGATCTTTGAGCGGCAGGGCGCTGTCGACGCCGACGTCTGCGTCGCGTACTTCAAGGTCCTTTTCAACTTTCTGTGCAAGAGCGGGTCGCTCGACGATGTTCTCGTCGTGCTCTTCTGCAAGGTCGTCAACACGTACGTGAACGACCGTGGCCTCGGCCCGAGCATTCTTCTCTTCTTCTCGCGCGAAGCGAGTCACATCGTTCCCTGGGTTGTGTGCCACGTCGGCCTCGACTCGATCCGGGACTCGCTCGTCTGGATCTTGTACTCGGACCTCTCGGAGACGGGGCAGCTCCACTTGGCCGAGAGCGGTCTCTTTGGGTGCATGCTCGACCGGCTCTGCTCGTGGCAGCGCACGCTGAGCTGGGGCGTCGGCACAGCGTACCAGCGCGACTCGGTCGAGAACATTTGCGCGCTTCTCAAGTACATTCTCTTTCCGCCGTCCGTGTACGTCATTGGCAACGTCGCGACGTTCGTCGAGAACACAGACTTTACACTGCCACTCATCACGGACCGGAGCCCCGCCGGCCGCCAGAACGAGCTCCTCCGGTCGCTCCTCGCGCATCTCGTCATGACGGAGACGGTGTTTGCCGTCTTCTTGTCGCTCGGTCTCGCCGAACTCTCGCGCCAGATCAAACTCCCGTGCGCGTATGTGCTGCAGGATGGTGGCGCGCTCTCGGTGCTGCTCATGCTCATGAGCACGCTGGGCTACCACAAGAAAAAGCGCGATGTCGCGTCCGTCGAGGGGCTTCTTCGCGACTGCCAAAAGGCACTTGTGGACGTCGTCGTACCCCGGGTCGGCCGCTTTGTACACCTTTGCCACGACGTGGTGACGCGCAAGACAGCTGCGCCCCGGGGCAACGCGCTGCTGTGCGTTGTGACGTTTCTCAAGCGCTGCATCTTTATGCAGCACGGCGTGCTGAATGCAGCCCTCGCCCAGGCCGGGTGCATGCCGGCGCTCATGGCGTGCTTTGCCGCGAGCCCGAGCAACTCGATGCTGCACCACGAGGTCACGGACGTGATTCGCTTTGTGCTCTTAGACCCGGACCAGAAGCGACTGCCGTCCTGCCCGCTGCTCAACAGCCTCTTTCTGCCGTCGAGCAGCATCCTCGAGCTTGTCATTACGTCGTACCACGGCCACGTCCAGTACAAGGGTCACATGACAACCATCGCCAACAGCATATTTACCCTCATCAAGTACGCATGGTGTTGCTGATGGGCTACATCTCATGGACTCTAGTACGCCCGTGCAAAAGGACCAAGCCGGTGTCACGTGCCAAGAGGTGGTTCGGCAGTACACGGCGACCAACGAGGCGTGGGTTCGCTTCGAAGCAGTTGTCGGCCGTCAAAACTCGGTCGAGATGGCCCCTCTCGGTCAGCGCCACGCGCCGCTCTGCTCGGGCTGCGTCAACCTCAAGGAGACGGCGGCGCAGTACGTGACCGAAACGCTTGGCAGCCACGTCTACATGTCTGGTACGACCACCGGTAGATGTATCTATGCAGAGATTGATTACTAGGCTATGTCGAGACGATATTTTCGGGCGCCGCGACGCACCACTGCAAAGTCAACACGACGGAGGACTTTATCACCGGGTTTCTCTACAAGAAGGACAAGATTCACGACCACATCCCCGTGCCCGAGCCCACGCGCGCGTCGTCCTTTATTCAGTTTCCTGTGCCAATGCCGTTCCACGCGCTCACGTTTACGCTCACATTTGTGGGCCTCTGCCGCAAGTGCGACAAACTCTGGTACTGCGATACGCTGCAGAGCGGTACGGCCAACTGGACGACGCGCATGAAGTGGGTCATCCCGACGTCCGTGCGCAAGTGGTACTCGTTTGGCGGCGCGGCGGCCGGGCCCGGCAGCGGCGCCCACGGCCTCGTCTTCTCGACCAAAGGCTACAAGAACTTTCTCGTGCTCACCGACACGTGGGGTCGCCAGGAGCAGTGGATCCACGCGATCGAGGACGCTGTGATTGGGCTCCAGTCGCGCGCGCAGGTGCAGTCGAGTGCAAACGCGCTCGCGATCGAAATCGACAACGAGGCCGACAACAGCAACATCATGACGTCCCAGGACGTCCGGCCGGTCGTGAGCCCACCTCGGAAGCGCTCCAACACGACCACGTCAACCAAGACGACGGGCGAGCTGGACCTCAAGATGTTCCAGCGCGGGTGCCAGGTCGACAACCTCGCGAAAGCCAAGGGGCTTCGGCTGCCGCCTCGCTTCCAAACCGACCCAAACGAGACGCCACTCATGAGCCTCAAGGCGCTCGGCAAAGACAACAAGATCGGCATGCGCCACGTAGCGTCGACGCCCAACCTCGCGTCGTTCGCAAAGTCGTCGCACTAGCTACTTGTACATGCATCATCATTCCATGTTGATTGTGCCTCCAAATGCCACGGGTTAGGGGAACGAGAGGGGGACCCGGGCTCGCAAATGGCTAACGCGTCGTAAGCGGTGAGCGTAACTTCGAGGAGCACCGTGTCCTTGCGAACGTTCCAATGAGCAGCCGGCGTCAACTCGACGCGGTATGTCGCAAAGAGGGCCGAGAGCACGACGAGCATCTCAGTCAATGCAGCTCTTCTCGCCTACCAAAGGCATTTAGAAAGTAGCAAAACGTGTTGGGCTTGCCACCCGGGAGCGTCAAGTCGGCTTCGTAGGTGTCCGTGCCGTCAATGAAGCGCTCTACCGTATCGTCATGTAGTGCGTAGTTCCGACTCGTCTCAGTTTATCTGGAAGGAACTCGTTGGGTCGGCTCCAGTACGTCGGATCGCGATGGATCGCCATAATATCAAAAGATATCGGCACCCTAGTCGCGCGATGAAGCAGGCAGTGGAAGAGGTAGGAGCAGGGGTAAATAATAAATAGCTATTATGTACCCACGGTGGATGCTTGGTAGGATTGCCGATTCCAAATAGCAGAGACGTGTTGGCAGATCATTCAAGGTGGTGTGGAAACGTTTTGCCGCGCAGAAGCACGGTGGAGCTTGCAGCCGGAACGACTCACGGTGACACGTCCGCAGCTCGAATTTTCCCATGTGACCATGATCGATGAGCTCAAATGACATGGTGTTAGCTAGTTATGCGGGAGCAACGATAGCGAGACCTCGAGGTGCATGGGCGTGATCGTCGCAGTTAGTTTGCGGACGTTGACGTTGGCAGCAGGTGTTAGCGCCACATGGTATCTCGCGAAGAGAGTAGAGAGCACGACAAGCATCTCGGCCATGGCGAAGCGACTTCCAATGCAATTCTTGTCGCCTAAAGCATTGGTTAGTACAAAGTAGTATCGTCGGCTTTGCCGCACCGAGGCCGAAAGGAAAGTAGCAAAACGTGTTGGGCTTGCCGCCACGCAGCACCAAGTCTGCTTCGTAAACATCGGTGCCTTCAATGAATCGTTCTGCGAGATATGAGTAGATTCGACTCGTCTCCTACTACCTGGAAGGAACTCGTTGGGTTGGCTCCAGTACGTCGGGTTGGCTCCAGTACGTCGGGTTGCGATGGATCGCGACAATGTCAAAGTAGATGTTGGCGCCCTACCTCAGTAATCCAGTGAGCTTGGAAGGGTTGTCCACTAGACCTTTGGAATGACGACCCAAGAGCCGCCATCCATAGGCAGAGCGTCAGCTTCGAGTGCGACGCGCGATACGTCCGCCAACGTTGGCGTCATGCGCATCGTCTCGTGGATGACGGCCGAGAGGTATGAGAGTTGACCGAGCTGCTCCCACCTCGGAGTCTCGTCCGTGCTTTCACCGCGCATGCGCGAACACTCGTCCTTGACTTTCTCTGCGACTTGTGGGTGCTGCGCGACGAACTAGACGACCCAACTGAGTGTGTTGTTTGTCGTCTACCCGAAGACGTCGCGAGTCAATAGATCGCAACAGTAGAGTCGTGCGTACTTCGTGCCCAGCAATCATAAACATGAGAAGCAACGCTCGAATGTTGGCCATCGACATGCCGGACGCATGGGCGAGAATGAGGTCCAGAATGTCATTCGGGGCGCCCGTCCGTTCTGTCTTGAGAGCAGACAGCTTTTGCTGAAGTACTCGGTCAATGACGCTTTCCAGCACGGACTGCGCCTCGGCTCGGCGCCGGTTCGAAGCCAACGGGAGGTACTTGTAAAACGGCACGAAGACGAAGCCGATAATGGTGAAGAAGGACGGCGCGAGGTTGTTGTACGCTTCGATCTCGCGCGGGTTCTTGTTGCGAAGCGACTCGAAATTGAAGCCAAAAGCCGCAACCCCAATCGC